TCAATTTTAAATCATTAACTAAGGGCGATTTTTAGATTTTGAAAATCCGATTCACAGGAATTGTATTTCGGCAATAGAGTAGCCAAACTGTAAATTTCAAACAATTTTGCAATGAACTTTAGAAACTACTCCTAATTTATATTTATTTTTACGTGGATTTTTCATAGAAATTGGCTGAAATTAACAGGGTAAATACTCTGCACATGCTAGAATATATTTCCGGTTAAATCGGTTTTTAAAATTTTTTTAAATCGTCCTCGGTAAAGGATTTAAAATCAAGAGATTCCAAATCCCTCCAAGTATTCACGACATATATATTATTTATTTTTTTGATTTTCGAGCTAACATTTTGAATTGATAACCATTAGAAAATATTTTATAATATGGTCTATTTTCTTTAAATTTTAAGAGCTGTTTAACTAAAAACTAGTGTTGTTAAACGGCTCGATTAGAACCGATTTTCAAAAAGGGCTAACTCAATATTTTAGCCAGAAAAATATTATCTAAGCCTCGAGATTTAGTTAATAGATGTTCGACTCTTTGTGCCAATTTTGAAACAAAATCTTAAGGTATTACATAATATTTTTCCTAATGCTCTTTTTAAAAATCTGCTCAAAATGAGCCATTTAAGAACACTACTAGAAACACTAAAACTTCGATTAAAATAAGCAACAAAATTAAGGGGGAAAAAATAAATAAGTTATTTATGATATGATCTTTAGATAAAAAATACCATATATATAGATATATCAAAGCTACAGTTTGAAATGTGGAATTTTTTTTTTAAAAAGAAGATTTTTGAGAATATACTTAAACATGATTTAGATATAAATTTTAATAAAGTATTCCTGATCTTGAAAAAAATTATCTTGATGAAAATTTGAAGGGAGGTGGGAGGGGGGGGGGGGAGAGAATATATAATAATATTCAGACTCCGAATAATTTGATTTATAAAACGGTTGTTATAAATATGGATGGACATAAAATTAAGATATATAATGCTTTATTGACATTGGGGGGAGGGGGGGGGGATAATAGATATAGATAAAAGCATTTAAAATAGGGTAATAAGGAAATTCGCCTAAAAAATTAACCGGCTCTAGGCCAGGCCGGATAAATGGTAATAATATCTAGCAGGCCCTAAACTGGTGGTAGAAATATCTAAATAAGGGGCTGACAGGGCCGTCAATCTAAATCTTGACGGGCCATAACCGGCCCGGGTTTTGCAGATTCTTAATATGAACCCTATAACTTTGACTCACTATAGAAAAAATATCAAGGTTATTCTGTTTTATAAGTTTAAAAAGAAACAAATTAAAAAAAATATATAAAAGCAAATTTAATTAAAACTTTCCTTATGACATAAAATTTTCTACGAAAATAAAATGATTGATATTTTAATTATTTCCTTAAAAAAAATAAATTTTTTTTTTTTTTAAAAAAAAAGAGAAATATTTTAATAATATTAAATTTTTTTTTTAAACCAATTTGATATAAAAATTTAATTATGAGTTTTACCTTAGAGACTTTTGCACAAAAAAAAATTGTTATTACTTTTTCCTTAATTTGTCGATTCATAATCGTAAATTAAAAAAAAAAATTTTTTCAATTAGAGAAAAGATGTTTCGAAGAATTTAATGTATATTTTCTTATAATATAGAGCCAATTTAGTGTTGTTGCAATATGCCGACCAACATCATACATCATTATCACGAGGGTTGTTAAATGGCTCAATTTGAGCCTATTTTTAGCAGAGTTGTTAAAAGATACTTTTTAAATGGATCTAGATACAGATACAACGTCTAAAATAATATCTAGATACAGATTATTTAATCAAAAATCTATCTAGATACAGATACCACATTTTTATATCTAGATCCTTTAACAACTCTGATTTTTAGAAACGGCTACCTTAGCATTTCAACCAGAAAAATATTCCCAAAGCCTTGAGATTTCGCTAATTGATGTCTAGAACCTCTGTGCCATTTATGAGAAAAATTTTCAGCTTGAGTATTATTATTCTAGATAAAATATTGAGTTAGCCGTTTTTAAAAATCGGCTCAAATCGAGTCGTTACTAAGCCGAATTCAAGGAATTTATAACCGAGATCAATTATTTAATCTGGATGAAAAATATTTAAAAACTAAACGGGTATCTGTTAGTAAGGAGTGAGATTAAAGTTAGAAGAGATTATGGGGTTAGGAAATTAAGAAATACTAAAAAATGGTTTTTTTAATTATAGAATTAATCAGTTTCATTTAAAATCGCTGTCAAATCTGACAAGTCATGTGATTGTAAATTGGACGAATAGAAATTTAAATAAAACGGCTGTTTAGTTGAACGGTAATCAATTCAAAATTCGGGATAATTGCGGGAACGCTAGCAAATCAAGGTCCTCTTTAAAAATTTGGGTTGGTATATCGCCCGAAGAAAAATTCCTGATACGTATATTTATTATGTTGAGAAAAGAATGTTAATAGTTAAGTTCCAAATATATTATCTGAAGAAAAAAAGTAATGATTCCAAATTGTTAATTTTGCTAAAATTAATTCAAGAGAGTGCTGCAAATTTTAAATTTCTTTTGAAGGTCTTTTACATCTTATAGAGTTAGACTATATTGTAAAATTTTCTTAAAATCTAAGAATATTACATTTTGTAATGCGACAAAAGTTTGACGTAAAATGGACGATGCGATGGGTAAACTATAAAAAAAAAGAAAGAATGGGGGTTCTTATAGTAAAGTTTTGAAAGGTATAAAAAAAACAGTCTCATGTGTATATTTAACCGGTTTGTAGAAGTAGAGTTTTTGCAGTTTAAGGGACATTTTAAACGTTTAAACCACTCGAACAATTTGTATAAAATTTATAGGTATTATAAAGAATGTATTTAATATAGAAATTGGATAATATTTAAGAAAATAAGGATCAGAAACATCTGAAAATTTGAATCCATATTTATGCTGAAGAAAGGATCCAATGTTTTCTGTTGAAATCTGATATCTGTAAAGTCTTTTATTTTAAACAAATAAAAATTGAGGCTACCCACACACCCCCCTTCCCACTCTGCTCATCCGGCAAAATTTAAATCATAATTATTTAAAGTAATAAGCCTAAGGTAATAAGTTTTTTATAATAATTATTAAAATCATTTCTGTCAATGGGTTTATTTGAAGTAAACCTAACGCCTTCTAAAAAATTTAAGGAAAAAAAAATATCCGAATATCTTGAAAATCTATTCTCTTTGCTAAAAATCTTTGATGCGCCTTCTATGCCATAAATTACCCCAAAAAATAGAAAATTTATCTTTGTTCAGTTTGTGAAAACAAAGGCTAGATCCCATTTGCAAAAATGAGACTAAATTTTCGGCGTAATAATTTGTGCGATTTTAGACGAAATGTTTAAAATTATTAAAATATCATTTTCTAAACAAATATTTCTGTTATGTAATTTAATTTAATTTAATCGATAAAAATAAAATACAATATTTTCTACTTATTAACATTTTTTTAAAATAATTTTAACAAAACTATAGTTATCGAAATCAACTTTTTTTTTGTAAAATTGTTTTTTTTTACCACTTTATCCTGGGGTTTGATGAACTCTGTCACCGCTTCTTCATATGGTTTAGGACTCCTGCAAAGTTTCTTCCAAGATTTACTATAGAATATAACTGGTCGCATAGTTACTAGATTCAAATTTAATGTTTCGCGATTATTTTCTGCATATGCGAGTTTGCTATTAGACACTAAATCTCGCCTCCCTCCCCCCAGTAAAATTAAACCGATTGCCTAGGGTTGCTTGATCCATAGTATTTATTAGATTCCACCGGGGAGAAAAGACTACGCCCTCTAATTATAAATCTGCATTAAAAGAATAAATAAAATTTGACATGAACGAGCCAGCCTAATTCATCAAGACACGTACGAGTTGGGTTAAACTCTATATATATATATTTATAATAAGATACAAAAGAAAATTAACCTAAAAAAATGCGTTGTTTAAACGTTCAAATTAGAGTAATTTATAATTTTGGCCATCATAGGGTTGTGCGGACATCTTTCTTATCCTGAGCACAAAATTTAATGCCATTTTTAATTCCTATAGTATTAAAATATTGGGAAACTTAGGTTAATGATTACTTTCCTTTTTCTTAAGCAAGATACATTCAAAAAATATAAGCTTCATAAAAATTGGGAAGATCTACTGGCTTGTAATAAGAATTACAGGCGCCTTCATTTTATTTTTAAAACCCGATAACCATGCAGCCTCAGAATCTCATCAAAACAGTTGCGTCTATTTATTTTTTTAAAGATCTGAATTTATTTTTTTTGACACCTAATTCAGTCTGATAAAAGGCTACAATCGAATATAGATGATATGGTACAAAAAATGGATGTATAAATAAACAGAAAATTGATCATTAAAATATGATTCACTTTTTAAGGAAAATTAGGAAAGTTATAGTGATTTTACAAGGATATAACCCTTGGTTTAGATTAAATGTTGTTAAATACCCTAACTTTGACCATCTCTATTATAGCATAGTCAAGCAGCCTAAAAAAATTAAATTGAGCTTCGAAGTTGAGTCTCAACTTGAAGATTGATTCCAATATTTTTGTTTAAAAATATGTAGTTTAGATTAAGTATATGTTTATTAAAAATATACACGCCAATATAGTTTAGATGGTAAAATTAGGCGACCAATGACCAAGGTAAACAAGGAGGAGAGTGCATCAAAATGATATTGGGGTGTAACTTATGGGAGCGTATCATTCCTAGCTATAATAATTTGAAGAATATATTACATCACTCCTCTTAATTTATCATGAATATTAATCTATCTCTAGGTATCTCATACATGAAGCCTTTAAAAAAAAATACCGCCCTAAAGCTTATTTTAGCGAACCATATGTTCATTGGTTGTCAAGTAGTTCGACATTATCAAAATTTAATTCGACAATTTTATTTAAAAAAAAAAATAGTAATAAACGTAAAATAAATTTATCTTTTTTTCGAGTATTTAACGAGTTCGAAAGGTTTATCCATTAAGCCCCTTCTATATATGGGGTTAAATATCAGGTTGAGATAAAAGGTGAGCGAAATGTATAGGTACTCCACAAGTGTGCAAACGGCTAAAGCTACATCTATATCGTAATCCATCATCGTGTTGATGTAAAAATTGCGGAAGATCAGAAAAATCGAGACCGGAAACAGTAGCACCACGAATTCGATACCTATTATGCCGATCAGCGTATTCTCCACTTTATTATCCCGCAATTTGGTGTATAATTTTGGGCTTCTTATGATGAAATTCTTCGAAGAAGAAGGCTGAGATTCTCCTTCGGAACTCTTTGCCATCTTTCAAAAAAAAAATTATCATTATTATTACACGTAATATTATTTCTTAGATTTTTTAATGCTATTCTTTTTACCCTATATTCCGGACTGAGAGAGTTATCGCTTTCTTTCAAATTTCTATAGAAGCCCGAAAATTTATTGGACGGTGGCAAGAGATTTGAGGAATTTACGTCGAGATTACGATTTATCCTTTTTATTAGCAACGATTTATGGATCCTATTCGTCCAAATCTTGACCAATAATATCGCTAGGGCTGGTAAAAATTTGGTGAAAAATACCCGAGCTGCCTCGTAAGTTGTCCAAAGGAGACGTTCCCTTTTCGTGTCAGGATAACTATATTGAAATATAGTATATTTTTTTTTTCGCAATTAATGTTTGTATTTTAATATTATTTAATATTTTATTTTGTTGTTCGTAATCGTTTTAAAAACGCTAATCAAATTCATAAAATTAATTTGGCGTAAATTTTAATTTCAAAAGTTGCCGAAATGTATTATTTAATTTAATGTAGCTATAAATAATTTAAATTTTGTATAGATCAAAGGCTCTATTAAAGTTTGTTAGAATCACTAACTTAGCCATGATTTTGCTAAGGAAAGGGGGGGGGGGAGGAAGCACTATTGGGTGAGATTTTTTTCCCTATTAACTTTATTGGAGATATAAAGGTCTAATTTTTTCTAAAAAATTTTGAATTATAAGTTGTAATTTTAAAAAAGTTATTAATTATTTTTCTTTCAAATTCTTCCTTAATTTTTTGGGGAGAGGGTGAGTGTGTAGGAAGGGGAAATTTATATTAGTTTACGAGAATCGGCTAAAATGGCGATGAAGCACCTGTTTAGAATATAATATAATTAAATGCATTATAAAGGTATATGTTTGGCATCCATTTAAAAAAAAATATTTATATATAAATTCTTCCCTCTATTTAATAAATTATAAACGTATTACCAAAATTTGTAATAATAAACAATCAAATAGGGCTCTACTCCGCACACATTCATTCTATTTTGCATCTCGAACAACCACCTGGTCGGTATGAACCACAGAACTACGTAAATAAAATTGAACATCAGCATGTACATTATATTTCTGGTTCGAAACCACATTTTGTATTTTACCGGGAATGCCGTGCCAATCATTTGAGAAAGAGCCAGTATGACGTAAATACCGAAGGAAAAACTGACCAACGATTTAGCTATGGGAAAATGAAAATTCGCCATGTACCTATTCCAAGGTTTTTTGGTCCAAAATTTATAGAATTTGAGCTCCCCAATCAAATCCAGAATGGGGTATATGAACATGGTCACGAAATTTATGACGTTAGCCGAGTACAGAGCGCGGGTCACTATGACATTGGGATGCGATTTTTCTCTAAAAGCGATTTTGAGTCCCAACGAATTGCCCACCAAACCCATCACGAACACGATGGGGGCGATAGTTATAAAAAAAATGAACATCGATTTGTTATTCTTGTAGACTACTGACCACGGAACGCACGTAAAATTTCCCGACGAATTTACGATTTTATAATCCAGTGCCGGCTGGGGAAGCGATAAATTTAATATAAATTTATCGTTCGCCGAAAGTAACATGTTTTGGTTTATATGTTTAGAGGTTTTAAAATTTATGTCCAAAAATATAGGCCGAAAAAAAATAAATTTTCTTTTTAAAGAATTTAAATTATTATTACAAACAAAATAAAAATGAATGATATAAAACATAGATATATTTTTTCTAAAAAAAAATAAAATAATTATGAGATAATGGTTAGAAATTTAATGATTATCAAAAATTTAATATAACTATTATAGTGTTACCTATTATAATATAAGCTCACCTTCTCACATAATAATAGCAAAATGTAATTTTTTAAAAATATTTATCTATTCATTATTATATTACTTTAACTAAGGGACACACTTTTTTTCCTAGTGAATAATTTATTATATCGTATCGTCATTTTATAAATAATGTCATGAAAAGATATAATTAGATTTTTCTGGAGTAAAAAAAATGTGACATCAAATTACTTACTCTAATTAACGTCAAATATTGGCATAAACATATTTAATTTATTAAACTAAAAGTCGAAAAAAAATAAATAATATGGTGTGATGATAACTACAAAGAAGAGCAAATATAATTAAAAGTATTTTTTTTTAACCTTTTATTTGTCAAGTCTAATATATATGGACATTATATTCTCATAGATTTAGATCTATGAAATCTCTCATGCCTTGGGAGTAAAATCCTTAATACAGGTGGAATTCTATTGCACTAGATTAGCGTGTCTACTGTTTGGCAAATAATATACTCAGACTCAGATAGCAAAAAGAAGATAGAAATAAATATAGCAATAATCGAGTAGTTTCAAAGGTGGCAATTGTTTTTTTTATATATATTAGTATAAGTGGGATTGGTATCCATTATTTAGTAAATCTTGTTTTATTTGTTCAAAGATCAAACAGACGATAAAAGAGATAAATTATAAATAAAATTAAGTAATTGATATTAAGGATTAAGCAGACGATTTATAGGGGATAGAAAATTCGGGAAAAGTTGTGGTATACTCTTCCCTAAACTTAATTTATAACATTTTGCTTCTCGAAAAATGGCAAAGTTATAAATAAAAAAAACTTATGTGATAAGTAAAATTACGATCAACTATATTTTATTTTAAAAGTCACATTCAACATATTAGTTTTATATATACAATTATTTATTTGGTTATAAATGCCTGTTATTATTCAAAACTTATATGGTTCAAAGATGTGATTATAGGGAAGCCCTATTATGGGGATGGGGAATGGGCATCTTCTGAGTTTTCGTTTGGATAATTCTACAGCATATATACCCTGACTTTTATGCTTAGGTGTTTATAAACCTGATCTCGTCTATCAAAGTAACCTCGACAATGAAACAATTTGTGGCCTATTGAATCGCTTTTGAAATAGTTGGAAATTGTTTTCAATAAGTTTAAAATAGAAATCTATCCTCGATAACAAACAGTTTAACCAATTTCTCGAGACTATAAAAATTTTGGATCCAAATCGTCTAACCCTATTAGGTCCTCTCTTGTCAAACAAAATTTATAAAAAAAATTTTTTTTGACAAGGATAAAATACAAAATATCTTTCCGGCTTATCTGAATGATACTTTTTTTTATAAATATTTTGTATTTATACATAACATATATACCAAAAATATTACACCCCTTACCATGAATTCGAAGTTAGCCGAATTCGCAGCGAAATATACAAAATATTATATAAATAATTATAATTTTAACATTAATTTTTGTACTTGGCCGGGATTTCGCGATGTGAATGCAGGGTCATTCTTCATTCTCATTTATTATTTTTTGGAAAATTTCTTTTAAAATCGACTTTATTAATTTTATTAAATGATTCTACCCATTCAAAATGTAACAAAATGAAATACATCGAATACGGTAAGGCTGTTTGAATTGGTGTTGTTAAACGGCTCGTTTTGAGCCGATTTTTAAAAACGGTTAACTCGATATTTCATCTAAAAGAAAAAAATTACGCAAGCCTGAAGATTTTGCTCGTAGAAGGAACAAAGGTCTAGATCATTTATCATAGAAATCTCTAGACTTGGGCACTATTTTTCTGTCTAAAATATTGAGTTAGCCGTTTTAAAAAATAGGCTCAAAATGGGCCGTTTAACAACACTACTTTGAATTCGGAATATAGATTCTATTATTTCTAGCCTATTTATGAGTATATACTAAAAAATTGTCCTTATTTGTCTATTAATTTAAATCTTCATTTTTTAAGTACCTATTATAATTACGAAAATAGATATAAAACCGAAGGACGAAATTTATAAAGCATTTTTCAAATGTAAGAAAATATAAAAGACAAAAGCTTTCAGATTGGGGCTTATTTGAGGATGCTTTTTTTAAAAAAAATTTGTTATGGAGGACAAAAAAAAAATTTTGAATTAGATTGGACAGTTTGTGTTAAATATTATTTTTTTTTTATTAGCGATACATGTATATTTTAATTAAATTTTTAGACACATATACTTCCAAAAGGATCCCCTCAAAAGGGTTATGGCCAATGACATATATAATACCTAGACTGATGATTCATTCATTAAAATGCATTTGAAAGCATCGTTGAATACAAATCAGCTGGACCCGCCATTTTGGTAACCCATATAGTAATTATTCTCATTGTTAAAAACTACTATTAAATCGATAACTTGCTTCCTTATTATATCGATGATCCGGTTAATTCTTTAATAAAGTTTGCATTCAGATATAGGAATAAATTAGGCTCTCGTTTAAAATTTTAATAATGATTTGTGTAACCAAGATGGCGTCTCCAGCTGATTTGCATTGATGTACACTTTTAATGAATGAATCGTCAGTCTAGGTATTATACATGTCATTGGTTATGGGGGCCTAGTTACTCGTAAATTATATATAGAGTGAAAAAAGGGAAAAGTGTAGACAATTTTTTTTAAAATCCAAATAAGCACCTATTAAGTAGGGATTTGTATCGGGCCTAATTTTTCAAGCACCGCCCGGCACGAACTTATTTAAATATAGAAATTAATTTTTATAATTACTCAAAATAAAAAAACATATGTTATATGGCGTCTAGTTATTTAAATGAAATCATATATTTTTATTTTACATAAAAATTCAATATTAAAATTGATAAATTTAAATATATATAAAAAAAAATTCCAAGGCCCAACCCGACCCGGCCCGAACCCGATTTTTTTTAAAAAGCCGGGTACTGGCCAGGCCTACTTTTGCAGATCTCTACCTATTAGCACTTCTTTTTCTAAAAGTATAATTTCAAATATTTTTTTTCTTTTATAAGTAAATATTTTCTAATTATTATGCTTAAAATAATCTTTCAATATGAAATCACAAAATAAAAATAAAAACTTCGATGATTTTTGCTCAAAAAAATATTTTGAATATTTTTTTTTTTACAAGCTCTGGTAAAAAAAAAAAAGATGCGAGCGACGCACTCTAAGCAATTATCGCGAGGCACCTTAAAAGTATTCAAAAAAAATATATAGTTCAAAGAAAAAAGGAAGAAATGAAAGATTGTGGATATTTATTTAATTATTAATATATATTTCAATTTGCATAGATGAGAGATATGGAAAGCTTGGCCAGATCGAAAGCCAGTGACAAGAGTCAAACCATAATTTTTTAAAATATCTGAATGGGTTGGGCAATAATTTAACGGACCGGGTTATTACTGCATGAAAAATCTCCTGCCCGGGCATCTGTATTGGATCGTGAAATCACTACCATTGTAGAATATCTATCGTTTTGATATTTTGCCAGTGTGAAATCACTACCACGATGATTTTTAAGAGATATGATCTTTTGTATTTTTTTAATTTTTTTTATAATGTTTCGATCTAATGATTTGCCAGGGCCGTTACTAGCCTTTACAATCTCAGGGGGTTCAACTAAAAAAATTTATGGGGGGGGGGGGTCGAAGACCCCTATACCTTCTCTTTTGCCTGGCCTTCGACCGAGCTTTATATTAATATATTATACTTTTTTAATTGAAATTTGCAAATTGTCATTTATTATGCATACAAATAATCGAAGTAAAACGATTCAAGACATTTCTCACATTTATTACAATATTAAATATTGATTACGGATATAAAAAAATCTTTGATTACAAGTGATAAAAAAGGTTAACCCTGAATTGATAATGGGTTTTAAAAACCACACAAGGCAATATAATCCTAGCAGTCAATATAGACAAAAGGTCATTAAACTAATATAACGTTGTGTTACCATTAGACAATGTTTTATAAAATAGACTAAGCAAAAATTTGTAGGCTTAACCAAATTAATTCTTGAAGAAGAATATATAAACAACGAATCCAAATCATAAAACTATATGGTGGTTAGACCTATATGACATTATAAAAGTTAGATAAGTAATCGAGAAAATTATTGTGAGATATTAAATTTCTAGAAGATTATCTTATATTTTTGATGGTATATAAACGACTAAACAGTTGACCATTATCGCTCATCTAAATTATGCAATCAAATGCTCTCACCAGCAAGAGTAATAATTTTAAATTATAATAGCTAAACAAATAATAGATGCTGGTTAATTTGCAGTCATAGACCTATGACACTCACGATTTAAACTCATATCAGTATTTATAAAGTTATAACATAAAACAAAAACACCAAAAGTCTTTGGAAGAAATAATTATGCAAATATATTGAAGTCTTGAGTTATTTACAGATGATATGAATCATTTTATAACTATAAAATAAGGATCAGAGTAACATGATGAAAGTAATTAAGATATTGTATACTATTGTCGAACCACCTCAATTGGTATATTATATCTTAAAATAATAGTAGTTTGTAATAATATCAAAAATATACTCGTATTTTAACTCGAAACTATTTTTCAAAGAAGAAAAATAATGATTAAAAACACATAAAAATAAGAGAAGGGGAAAAAAAAATCTAATAAGAATACATTCATAGTGAGAAGAATAATAAGATGTTTAATTTTTAATGATATTTTCTTAAATAAATAGATGGCGCTAAAGAATTGAATGCAAATTGTTATGTATATTTATTAAGAGCATTGATTCGTAAAGTTTATTAAATTATTAACTGTAATCTATTCTATAATTGTCAAATATATCTGTAAAAATGGTATTTTACCTAATATTTTATAATCATTTCTATATAAAAGAGGATTATCAACTATTTTTAGGAATAAGGCATGGTAATTAAATTTAAAAATGAATAATATAGTTGATTAGTGAGTTTGAACTCGGCTAATTACAATATTATATTTGTTAATTTTCAATTAATAAATAATTATATTTATTATTAGGGTTATAAAATAATTTAAATAAAAATCAATTTCATCTATTAATGCTAAATTAATATTTAGATTATGATTGATATACCATTTTTAACATAGAATTTGATTGCAAGCTGACATAGTGAAAATATAATATATATATATCGATCCGATCTTATAATTAAAATAGCACTCATAATGAAAATTTTGATAGTTTTATTAATTTTTAAATAAATCAAATCTATATATAATAATTAATAGAATTATAAAAGAAATCCTTGAAGGAGCTAACAAATAATTTATTTTTAAATCAGGGGGGATATTAGGGAGCCATTAAAATTTTTTTTAGTTTGCTTCACAGGGGGCTATTTCAGAGGGCTCGAGAACCTGCCCCCCCCCCCAGCGATGCTACTGCAATTTGTATTAATATTATTTTATCTTATTTTATCTTATTTTCTCAAATTTATTCTAATATTATTTAGAAATATTCAATTAAATATACAAATATATTTATTTTTTTAAATTTCTAAAAAAATTAAAACATGTGCAAAAATATATAACCAATCATAAGAAACAACCAATCACTTTATTAATGTTAAAAAAAAATAAACATAAAAAGAAAAATAAAGAAGCAATCAAAATATAATAAATAAAAATATATAACCAATTTTAAAAAAAAATTTCCATTGTTTCCACTATGTGTTTTTCTTTTCGTTTTTTTTATTATTATTTTCTGTTGTTTTTTTAAAAAAAAACAAGTTTTTTTTCCCTATTCCTAATTGAAACCATATCTAAATATAAGATCACGATAATGATTTATTTTTATTTTTTTCATAAGACATCCTCTGGTAGTATCCAAATTTAGCGAGTCTTTCGCGAAATAATTTTATAGCGAAATTGTAGAGCTTTACATCCAGATGGTTATTTTGCGCTATTTTTATCAGCATATCTCGATCCAAACGTTTGCTCCCTTCCTCGGATTTGCTCACTTTATTTTTCAAAAGCTCTTTATTGCTGAAGGATATTCCCAACACTTTCTCGAATAGGTAGATAGTTTCTGGCATAAATTCAGTTATGCCGAATACCTTGAGCCCTAATTGCAAGTTAATCTTGGCACTTTCTAGCATAATATGATTCTTTTGTTCAGTTGATAGACTGTGATCAGTGTTTTTATAAAAAAAATATCATATTGTTTATAAAATATGTTTACGAATCATTAGTTTAAAATGAATAAATACTATCTATAATACTTTATTAATAATTATTATACCAACTTTTGAACAAATAAAAAATCAACCAAACATTAACTCCAATTTTTCTTAAAAATTTATTGCCTAAAATTAAAAAGTTTCTATTAATATTGAACAATTTTACAGAATATAATCTCTCCCGTTTAATATTTTAATATTTCCAAAAATTTAATATGAAAAGTTTCATGGGTATCGAAAGAATATAGTCGTTACCATACTCCTTACTTTTATCACATTCTATGATTGACATATCGGCTAGATGCCTTGTCATGCGATTATTTGCCCATTGATTTTGACAGGAGACAAACTCTTCCAATGTGAGCTCCGAAATTTTTTTAATGTGGGCAAAGCATGTAGGACGAACAATCAACACTTCCTTCTCGCACAATATGTATTGCCTTCTCCAATGACTTCCCTTAAGAATCTGATAGTATTCGCTCAGGTATCTTTTCATAGGTTCCCTCAACATCGTCACAAAGTATCTAAAATTTATTTGGGTAAGGATGAAGATTGTCAGTGAAATTTATTATATATATTTGTTTAAATAAAATTTAATGCACATACTTGTCCCAATTTGTATTAAATTGTTATATTTAGCCTAAACTTAAACGTGATGCTTGATTTAGGATTATTCTATTTTATATGATATGGCTAAGCTAATTTATCGAATGTTCAAATTGGACAAGTGGGTCAAACAAAACTTTTTCTTTGAAAAATGTATTACCCAAATTCAAAAAGTATCGCCAGTTTTATATTTTGTCTCTTTTATCAATCTTGGCACGCAAAATTCTATGTGTAATTATAACCAAAATGATTTTAATATTGTAATATAAAGTTGGTTTCAAGATTCCAATGATGATTTACTAATTAATTTTGGATCACCAATTAAGTGGTTTGCCTAACCCCGCTATTGGGGTTTGTTGGGCAAAGTTTCCACTTTTAGAAAAAATAAAATATCTGGAATATGATTATACCTTTGTAGAGTATAGTTTTAGGTATCGATTCATATATTTTTCTTTATAATAACAAAACAACACAGGAGTTATAGCCGAATTTGTAAATTTGGTTCGACTAACCAGAGTCTCCCCTACTTTTTTAGTTTAATGATAGGCTAAGATAATCTTTAAACCAATAGAATTAAAGATAATATTTCACAAAGAAATACAGAGATTAGAATTTTACACAACGGTCAAAAGATGTTTTGGGCTATTTAAGTATGATTGGAACTTGAGACTATTTGCAATAATGTGGTATGCAAGGCAAATGAAGCATATCCTAATAAATTTAAAATAGTTGGAAAAATGAAATATCTAGGCACTGCCAAATAGTGTTGATAAACGACTCGATTTAAGCCGATTTTTTATGGCTAACTCAATATTCCAGAAAAATATTGCCTAAGCCTCGGGATTATAGATCTCCAAATCTTTGTGTATCTATACGAAAAATCATGAAGTTCGCATAATATTTTATGATAGCCGTTTTTAGCAATACGCTAATCGAGGCCATTCAACAACACTACTGCCAGGCATCATTCTAGACAATGCCCAGAAGGTTTCAGCCCCGATTAAAGGAATATGTCTTTAAATTTTGATCCATATCAGTTAGCGTTATATCCATTTTTGTATCGAGATCGGTGTTGTTAAACGACTCGTTTTGAGATTATTTTTCAAAACGGGGAACTCAATATTTCAGCCAGAAAAATATTGCCTAAACCATGAGATTTGGCCAATAGATATCAAAACCTTTGTTACTTCTACAAGCAAGATCTTCAGACTTGCGTAATATTATTCTGGATGATATATTTAGTTAGCCGTTTTTAAAAAACCGGCTAAAAACCAGCCGTTTATCAACACTAATCAAGATGATAATTTTTTTTAAATCTTGACATATTAAACCTTTCATAAAAATAAATTCTTGTTTATATGCGCAATTTTATGCTGAATAAAATTGACAAATCAAACCAAAAATAAATAGATTTTCAACCAGACCCCTTCAGAATTATTTTAAATTTTACATATTTGTAATATATGCTATAACTAAGAAAAAAAATGAAATTTTTACATTATACAACCACTTATTCGCTAAGATATGGGGGTTTAAAAGAGCGAATAAAATGGTTCATTTTTGACAAAATGCACTTCATTAATTTTCGAATATCTCAAGAATAAATTAAGTTAGAGCAATAATTTAAATTTTATTAATTAGCTTAATAATTGATCTTTAATATGAACGTATAAATAAATGTGATTGAAAACCCGATTAATACCCAAAACCGGAAGTACAAAAACGGAAATGGATATAAGAATAGGCATATTTTTTTTTAAATTTTTTTTTCCTGTGGATGTGTTTCTAAACTGGTTTATATTTGTACAAAATAAACTTAGACTGGGATAAACGTGGGTCTAGGAGTTAGACCTTTTACATGGTTAAAATTGTTCAAACTTAATATAAATATCATCCATCATATTTAGGTAATAATTTATATTAAAAAAATTATGTCTAAATGAAAGGCCCTTACCTTATTACTAAAAAATAAAAAGTTTAAAGGTGGCGGGTGTTGGGGAAGGGGTGGAGTTAAAATAAATCTAGGCGGACAGATAAAAATTTATGGGCAAGGTCGGACAAATGGGCATCTCTGCAGGTCTCTGAAAAATAATTTATAAAACCAAATAAAGAGGCAACCGTTAAAAAATAACTTTTAAACATCAAGACGGGTTAAACAAATTTTATTAGATAATTGGTAAGAGGGGGGTGGGGGGGGTTATAAAATACCATGAGCGGACGGGCTATAGGGTTATATATTTTTTGAAACAATGGCGGGAGTTTTAGCTAATACCCGATCCTTGCCGACCTCTAGCGCATTTAGAATATTAAAATATTGATCCAAGGGTATATAAACATATTTGTTATATTTCTTTTAAAACCAGTTATTTTAGTCGTTACATTCCACAAAAAAAACTACTACATATTCGTTTTGTTTCGAAAGACCCTTTTGGAAAAGTTCACTAATCGAAATAGACCTATACAAATTTGTGTCTAAAATTAGCCAGAAAGGCAACTCCGCTTTAATTTTAAGCTAAGCACTAGAATAGGATTTGAAACCGTTTTACATTCCGGTTGGAAACATTGTATGAAATTGAATGTTTGATAATTGTATTAAAAAAATTATGAAGTCGATTTAAGAGAACTTATAGAAGGTGTTTGGACATAACATAGAAATATATAATTAAAAATTTTTTTACAAAATAAAAAGAAGATGAAAAATTAGTTATGAATTGACACCTATTGCAAGTCATTAATCGATAAAATAATTATGTTAATTAAATAGAAGTGAAAACCTTAAAATAGAAAATGGTTTAAAAACAAATATTATACAATTACGTTGGGTCATCGGATAAATTTCGCGTATCTTTTGTTTGGGTATAATATGCCGGCTTTTACCTTAATATGGTGTTCCCTGATAAAATTTTGGTAAGAATTAATGTTTTCGGACAAATCATATAGTTTCATTGCCACAGGAAGACAGTCACGCATACGGTCGAATACGGGATGTAACCCGCAATACTCCCAGCCATAGGTGAATCGACTATAATAGCCAACTTTTGGTACCACTGTATTCAGTTATATTGTTTATAATTTTCTCCCAAGATTTTATATTTGGACGTTCGCATAAGCATATTATGAGTTGATGATTGGTGTCATTTGGTGTTCTACAGGAACACCCAGGATTTACTTGGATATTGTGCACCAATATTGAACTGAATTCGGTGCCTCCGGTCTTTTGTATGTGGACGAATGCCAAAATATCCCGATCAAAATTGAACCGTACTGTCGTAATGGGGTCTATCAAACATTCGCTAGCTAAAATCTTGGTGATGGCCAATCACTCGCTTACAACTCGCAATGATATTTTGGTGATAATCAGAGGAAAAACGCAGTTTCAGATAACTATATGCGTCAATTTTCGGGTCCAACCAAGTTTTATTGCGTTGTTGAATATTTTCGCGGCTGATTATACTTACTCTCCCATTTTGAACGCTAGATATATTGTTCGTACCTTGTTGATTATGGTATTTAGAGGAAATTTTATGAATATCGATAACCCTGAGCGGATGGATTGCTGAATAGAAGTGATAATTGAAAATTAATGCATGAAAAAGGATTACTATACATGAGAACAGTAGTATTATGTACATTTTGTTGAAAATATCGTCTTCGTTTCAATTTATTATATATTTTCATCTTTTATACATTTATAATAAATATCCAGAAGTTTATTATAATTTCCTGCATTTTATTCAAAATAAGGAAGGTAAAAATAAATTATTACGCCAAATTTCTTAGAATAAATAAAACTAAATTTTAAATTTGATAATATTTTAAAATCAACAATATTATTCAACTTTCATGAAAAAGAGGCATGTTTTGTGTTTCGTTCATTTTGTGCTGAATAAGGATAAATATTGTTATTAACATCAATAAGATTTTTCAAATTATATATCGAATTTGATAATATTTTAGTAAAGAAAATAAATAGGTAGTAATGGAAAGGGAGGGGTAGGGCGAGGGAAAGAAAGAAAGATAATAATCTAGAAACAGGTAAAATAAGGTTAAGAATTCCAGCAATATTTAACAATTTTAAACGGGATAAGCTGGAAATGGGCTTTTTTTTTTGATCGATAGTCCAAAATAGTCTGAAAAAAAAATATCCTGTTATTCGTATATTAGCAACAAAGTTATATCCGTACTCCATAATTTTGTATAACACCATCTATTTTATGCAAGTAAAATTCAATTCTGGTTACAAAAAAATGCATATACTGGAAGAGCCGATAGCGACATCAGGGTTTCCACATCGTATAGAGTAAACGTAAACCGGAAGTTAAGGACTCAAATTGTCGCTAATTGTTTTTTCCTTCGATAGACCTTTAGAGATTTTTTGAATCTAAATGATATATATTTATTTTACCATTAAATAGTTTGTGAAATATAAATATATTCAAAAATTTTGCAACTTTGAGAAATTAGTAATTTTTTCGCGCATTTGAAGCCAGATGTATACAAATCAGGAATCAGGGCTGGGTCGGGCCTGAAATTTTTTTTAAAAAAAATACCCGAACCGGAAATATTTTCCGGGCTATGTATTGTAAAACCAAATATTTGAAATCGTCATTATTATCTATATAAATCAAAAATAAATATAAAATATTTTAAAATAATCCTGTTTTTTAAAAAAAACACCGGCCCGGCCAGGGTGCAAAAAATTTTTGAAAAAAAATCCGAGCCGTGCCATGCTAAATGGTACCAGGTCTTTGATATAAATGCACAAGATTCTGGATTCCTATATTTTATAATAAATGATGGGATAAATTGAATTTCCTCATTGAAACGTTGATCGTTATTTTCACTTACTTTAAATAATATCAAACTCCTTAAGATAAACTATTTATTAATATATATAATTTTATAGAAAAAGGACGCCTCCTTTTGAGAAAATATTTATACATACAACTAATCATTTTTTTTCTATTTTTGAAGTATCAAATTAGCCGGGTCCCATACCTGTCTTTTTTAATAAATATAAAAAAGGAGTTTAGTAATGTTTACTAAATTTTCTATAAAGATTAAAGATGGTATTATTTCTAAAACAAATCATTTTTAATTCTTACATATTAAATAAAATGGCCGGAAATTGAAAAAATCAAAAAAAAAAATTTTTTTTATCATAAGATATGTTTAATTGAGTGAAGGCACGTCATTTTTGACACTTTGAATTATCACATCTCCAAAAATATAAATAATGTTAGAAGGATAAATTTTTGGTTATCTTAGTTACATTCATCTTTAATTTCTTATCAAATTTAAAAAAATCAGATGGTGTAGCTTTCGTTTAATGACTGCTTTTCTTAAAAATAGTATTCTTATTTCTAGTATGGAGGGGGGGTGGGGTAAAGTCAAACTACATATCGATTTTAGACTAGATTTTTTATCTAAGCCCCTAGGAAATTATAAATATACAATTTATAGAGTTAGAATTTAATATAAATATTGAAATCAAATACTTGTATAATAACGATAAACAGGTTTTCGTATATTTCATTTATTGTAATAAGGAAAAATAAAATTCAATACATTTTATTGCTTAACTCAAATATAATTCTTTTTAAAATAAATTTTAAAAAATAAACACAACAATTCTTCCAAAGAAATAATTTCCCAAATTGTCTCCTAATTAGAATGATAAGATTTTTTTATAATTCATATTTGTGGTATAAAGAAAAAAGTTAACAAGATGTAGAATTAGCCCTGCTATTTCCTTTCCATCTGATTGCATAATCTTACCAATCACAAATATATATTTTAGAAAAATTTCAAAACAAATCAAAAAAAATAATATTGCGAATCATTCATTCATTTATCACGTTGATCTACGACCACCCCCCTCCCCCCCCCCCCCCCGATAAGAAAGCGTCGGTTTTTTAGCAAAGAAGCCGACAAAACTCCAGATAAGAGTTACAAGAGTAAGGGCACTAAAAATCCCTTCGTAGTTGTTTAATTACCTTCGGCTTTATTTATTTAAAAAAAAGAGTTAAATTAAGATTATTTGCAAATGATTTTAAAAAATTAACGATTAATTCAAATATTTACTATAATTTAGGAATATTTCATATTTATCTTTCCTCAAAGATTTTATAAACTATAACGAATTATCTTTACATTTTTTTATTCGTCTGCTTTTGAAATGGAAATAAAAAAAATTAGAATAAAAATCAAAATTTAATTAAACTTATTAAATTTAAATCAAATTATAAATCAAATATAATTTTCATAATCTGATAAATTTAGATTCTAAATCGTAGATTCCGACAGCACATCCGGCCTTTTCGTCATAGTCAACCTATTCCTAAATATGCAAATTTTATATAAAGGTAAGTGTTTAAAATTGTAAAATGAAGATTTAAAACATAAATTTTAAATGATACACTCGAGTGTTAGAATGGCATTTTACAAGGCAACAAGCTGTATTTAAATTTCTCATTTTTTTTTTATTAGAGGATATCACAGCTAAGGCAAGGTCAGAATGGCTTTGGATAAGTGCCTCTAAGTGAATGAAACACAGAAAATGATATATACACATGTTTAGAGTGGGTGGCACACGATACAAATATATTTTATTATATGTGCACAACCCTACTCTGATTGGGAGTGCATTTTGCCCGAAATGCCCAATTTTTCCGACATTTAGAAATCTGTATCTCAGCCGCTGTTAGAAATTGGAGGCTAAAATTTTATTTTCTTTCTTAGTTATACACCACTAATTTGAATGAATTATAAAAAGGAAGATAGATTTGAACCCACAATGTCGCAACTGAAAACCCGATGTTAATATAAAAAAAAAATAATTTAGTCAGTTAAAATGTATAAATACTAGTGTTGTGAATGAACGCTGTTGATCGCGTACAAATTTTTTGACCAAATTACAAATGATGAACGGACGTTCTTATTTATTTGGTGAACTTTGAACGTAAATTTCGCTTTCCTTTTTTTTTGACAAACGATGTATCGAATTTAACGATTCGTTCAATTTTAAGAAAGCCCTTGTTTTATTTTTAGTTTATTTGTAAAACATTAATGTTAATCCGAATTTTTTAACAGTATATATATAGTCTAGTATATTTGTTTAATCAGCTGTTTTTGCTTTTTCCTATTACCTAATTCCGATAATACTTTTACCATTACGTGCAAGAGAAGATAAGAGATAAGTTTATTAATTTGAATATTAGTTTGAATATATTTTAATTATAATAGATTAATATGGATAATATTATTATTATTAGTATCTATCGTCTATCATCAGATTCTGAATATTCAGAAAAGTCAGATGTAATTGAGCATCATTAGCCATGGTCAAAATATGAAAAATATTTTTCACTCATTTCATATAAAGGACCGAATTCAATAATTACAAAATGTTAAATGTGTCCAAAAAGTGATCATATCGGTTTCTAAATCACTCAAGTTCTAATTTAAAACTACATTTGATATGTAATATCTATTATATATATAACTATCAATACCTTAAATACTAACAAAAATAGATATATTGTCCTTTTATATCAATTTAAAAAAATATGTTGTATAACACTTTTGCGGTAAAAAGGATGCAAAGTTCGAAATAAAGAAAAGAAAAATGAGGAACCAATGATGTATCGCAAAAAATACAATGTTCGAAATATAACTGTAGGTGGCATATTTAAGGTCTAAAAAGAAAATGGCGAACCAAAAATAGTAGTGTTTCGTAAAGGGTTCAAGGTTATAAATATAACTATGGGGGCAGATGTGATCCTTAAAAGCAGTGTTGCTAAAAGGTTACTTTTAAAAGTAGCGCGCTATTAGTTACTTTAGATTTTTTTTAAAAATATTATTTACGTACATCTCCCTTTCCACAAATAAAAAAGGCGACTAAAATTTCAAATATAATTATCATTTCCATACTAGTCATCCCCAAGTCTAGAACAAAGATCAAAAATTATAAAGCATACAAAACTTTTTTTTATAAGAAAAAATCATCAAAAATATTCATTTGATTATTTATAGATTTTTTTTTAAAAAAAAATGTGGTCTTAAGCATTTTCATTAGTATCAGTAATTATTTCAAAAAATAATATATCATTTATAAGTGAGTGGTGGGGTTTTTGGTCTGGCTAGGAATCAGTCTAAAATTGTAATAATGATAGTTAGAATAAAAATTATGCAGGGGAGAAGTAGACGGCCATGTTTAAGAACTGGCCATGCCACCATTAACTTTTATCTACCGAACCTAGTGTTGTTAAACGGCTCTATTATGAGCCGATTTTTAAAAACGGCTAATTCAATATTTTGGCCAGAAAAATATTACGCAAGACTGAAGATTTTGGTCATAGATAGCATAAAGGTTTATATATCTATGGCTAAGGCAATATTATTCTGGCTAAAATATTGAGTTAGCCGTTTTTAAAAATAGGCTCATATCTAATCTTTTAATAACACTAATTGAACCAATTTCTCTCAAAATTGTTTGAAAATGTTGAAAGGATTGAAATAATCAATTTTTTTTAGCATTTTTTGATTAAATTTATAAATAGGTGAGTTAGTTAATTTTAAGCATGTAAATAAAATCCAGATAATAATTTATAAATATATTATTAAATAGATTGAGTATGATGATAAAACGAAATGTTGATAATTAATTATTTATTGTAATTTATAATATAATTCTTGAATAATATCTTATAGCCATTTGAAACATACCATGTTTGGACTTGGCTAGAAAATCAACTTTAATATAAACTCATCTAGCTCATTTGAACTATTATTGATACAGATATGATTCAAATTTTAATTTAAAGAATAAGGATTGGGCTACACATTCTAAATCGCTCAAATAAAAATAGCCAAAAATGGGGAATCTCGCGTACATTTAGAAAATTTTAAAGGATATATTGAAAATAATATTAATAGATGCTAGGAAGACTTGTATTTATTAAATTGAGCTTTTGAAAAAATGGAGGAAATATTATCATCGTTCCTAGAATTAGGAAACAACATTTGGGAAAATTGATGATACTTCCCCTTATTTTTAGACATTTTTTAAAAAACTTTCAATTTAAATACAAATTCCTCGAGATTTTATATAAATGCTTATTTTTTAAATATAAATTTCAAGTTTTTCTTAAAAATTTCATAATGTGATATTATACATCATTATTACACTACTGTTATAAGATTTAATAACTTTTATTTAGACACTTTAATTGGATCTCAAAGAAATTGAATCAAGTATTGATGTGTTCGATTAAATTCATTTTAAATAAGTCATATTCATATGTAGGGCTCTGTCGATATTAAATATCGGATTGGATCGGTAAAGGATCAAATTCGACACTTTTTATTGCTTTTGTTTATTTTATGATTGTATATATAATTATATAATATTTTTTTTTATTTTAACATAATTCCATAAATAGAAAACCAAATTTAATTTGATTTGTAATGGATGTTTAAAAAAAAAATAGAATTATTTTTAAAAGTTAATGCAGCTACAAATTTGGTTCTATTTTTTGTTTGATTACTCGCAATATGCTGGTGTTGTTAAACAATTCAATTTCTCCGATTTTTGAATAGGGTTACGTCAAAATTTTAGCCAAAAAAAGAGTTTAAGGATTTTTGTCAGAGACAGAAAGGTTTGGATATCTATTGGCAAAATTTTGATGCTTGAATAATATTACTCTGGTTTTTAATTTAGCCTTTTTTTTAAAAATGGACTAAATAACGCTACAATCAGTTATAATCATCTACCATATATTTAAAATTAGATGATTAACTTTTGAAGAATAAAAAAAAACAAAATACACATAATCATTTGTAGAAATTAGTTGAGTTTTTTAAATTAGAAAATATTAATTTTTTTATGACACTGGTTGGCGAATAAAAATCTATATAAATTCGGTTCGATATCGGTTATCACCGGATCAGTCATATAGTAATATTGGGAAATATTGGATTGAGATCGAATTGGAGAAAAATTTGCGGCTTGGCCCAACAGTCTAATATACATTAGGGGACTGTCAAACCTGGTATGCTTCAGCCTGAGACGCAAGTTCCCTGACCTGACCCATTAATTTATGTATTAAAATTTTATAAAAAGTCCATTCCAGTTAATTAAATTGTTTTGTACAAATTTTCCAGGCATCCGTTTTTAATATCTACATATATTTATTTTTCCCCAGTGTAAATAAAGGGGTAAGCGGAGAATAATTTCCCGGAAAAAAAATCGGAATAAAAATTCCCGATAATAATTCCCCGGAAAATAATTTCCCAGGAAAAAAAATTCCCCGGAAAAAATCCACTGGAAAATAATTCCTCAGAGAAAAAAATCCCAGGAAAAAATAACCCTTGGAAAATAATATCCCGGAAAATTATTCACCGGGAATAATTTCTTCCGGAAATAAATCCCCCATTTTTTAGAAATTTAAATTAAATAAAGGGGAAAATAAATCCCCGGAAAAAACCGGAAAAAAATTTCCTGAATAATTTTTTTTTAAAATTATTAAAAATAACCCTGCCGCTAAAATAACGAAAATATTTATAAAAAATTATATTCAGTATTTTCTGAACAGACGAAATTTATTGTAGAACCATAGTGTTATTTGATAATAGCGATATCACAATACCGGACAATTCATATATAAATATCAAGTGGAGCCTAGTAAATCTATAATATTTTGTAAAATTCACCATCTGGATACTAAAATTTTAATATACTCTATTGATTTTAGTTTATATTGATTAATACCTTTTGAAAAATAATAAATAATATTTTTTATTTCTTTATATTTTAAGAGCTATATAACTAAAACACGAAATCTATAATATATTAAATTTCACAAAAAATTAAGCCATTGGCGTACACAGCTGGGGGGGGGGGGGTCGGGGGGCCACTCCCCCCCAATGCCAAAAATACAGATGCCGAATATATTTTTCGAAAATATTATTGTTTATATTAATTTATATTTGTTAATATTTATTCGTATCTCATAATAAATATATATTTAATTACATTTATTAACACATTTATCTACTAAGTTATTTTATCAATTAATTTCGATTTCAAGTTTTCTGGTGTAATATTTACTTATTATTTTCAAATTTTTAGTGGCGTAATATTTATCTACCATTTTCAAATTTCTAGTCAAATAATAATTATTTCTGAAACCTCTTGTCCAACAGGGAAAAAGAAATTGCAAGTCCAACGAGATAGAGTCTCTGCCATCAAGCAGTAACAGCTTTTAAGGAGTTAGAAGAGCCAATATTTGCACTGAAATATCACAATGGCATGAAAGAAATATTTCCTCAGAAGCAAGAAAATTATTGGATACAATGCTTATTCCAAATTTTATTACTCATAGAATGTATTATTTAATTATACAACTATTTAAGTATTACTTTTCAAAAACATGACATTGACTTGATTAAGAAAATGAGAATAGCGGAGAGCATTTTATCAGAACTCAAGGAAATTATGGCGAATGTTGATGAAGAATTTCATATTTTATTGTTGAGTCAAAAGCAGAGCTATACGTGTTTAATATTTATCTCCCTCGACTTGTAGCAAGGCGAGCTCATCGTCAAAACATTAATATAGGATCAGTAGAAGAGTATATCTTAAATACAGATACATTTATAACCCAAATAAATGAATTTTAAATTCATCATGCAGCACTTACTAATCTGCAAATATTACTTCCACAAAAGCCTTCCCAACCTTTTTCAGATGGTGATAGAAAAAAAAATATTTGTTAGATTTTTATTATGAAGATGTTAAAGTATCATGATGCCTAACTAGCTGAATAACTTTGTTTATAAGATTTACTATGGTAGATATGGTCCCAAAAAATGCTATGGACGCTCTGGAAAGTAGATTGAAAGGTTTAGATCTTTTGAATATTCATAGGCATTTGACAACAAGCAAGAATGAGATAATTGAAAAATTAGCTCAATCACATCAAAGATTGGATTTTACATTGTAAATATATAACATACAAAATGCTTATTCCTAAGAAACTTTTTGTGTAAAGGCTCAAAAAATTCAAAGTTCTATTTTGGGTCATTAAGTGATTCTTTACATATAATTTTTTTATAATTCACATTAATTTAAAATTGTGTATTAGAAATAGTTATTAGTCCTGATAAATTTATGCTTGATATTTTTAAAAAACTATAATATTTCTTGAAAAATTTTATTATCTCCCCCCCCCCCCCCAAACCGAATTCCTGCGTACGCGCCTGAATTAAGCAATTTATTTATTGTATTAACGACAAGCAGGGAAAATCTTGTCTTGAGAATGGAATTGCTAGTAGTGGGGAAACTCTTGCCCTAAGAATGGACTCGCTAGTAGTCTGTCTTGTCGTCGGTAGTATGATACTAATATTTTAGTATGTGAATAAAGTCTTTTATTAAATAACAAATTTTTATTATGTAAAATTAACTGATTGTTTTTATTATATAAGATCTCTTTTTATATCCAAAATAAATAATTTATATCATATAAAATGACGTTTTTAATTTAATATATACACAATTGCCTTCTTTATCTAAAATGAAAAAGTATATTAACACAATGAAAATATATATCGTTACAAATATGTAATAGATATGATACAATTACAAGAGTACATAACGAGTAAAGTCACTAGAGAGATAAGTGGGGTGGGGGTTGGAACCCTTAAATATTCTTTTATACTTAAAAAAAGGTAATTTTGAATAATATTAGCTAAAAAAAAATTGGAAAAAAGTAAAACATATTTTATGCCTTTTGAGATTATTAAGATTAGTGATATCTCTGTACAGTACTAAAAACCATAACGGATGTGACAACTTGTACAAAAATTGTCAACAGGCAGAAGCGGGCCATGCTTTGCAGAACTTTTATAAACACTCGAAATATTACAAGTTATTATTAACAGAAAAATTTTAAACATTATGATATTTTTTGGATATTTTTTAACCCTTTTTTTACATTTATTTTGCGGAATTTAAGATTAAAATTGACAAAAAATATAAAACGTTCCTTATCCATTATTGGTACAATTCAATCCAGCCAGGTGAATCGTTTCAAATTATAATGCCTGTATATTTTAAACAATATTTAGAAATTATAGATATTTAAAATAAGAGTTTCGGGCTTCAACTAAAAGCTAAATTAGAAAATGTGGAATATTTTAAAGCACCCGGCGAAGATTTTAGATGGTATTTAATGGTAATTATAATTATTGTTTATACATATTAACATTTATATAGCTTAAATGTTCTAACTGTGGGGAAGAATTAAAACAATGGTGTTACTTATCAATTGAAGTGACTAAATACCTTGATAAAATTTTACTATTTAAATTAGGAATCCAAGGAGATAAGTAGTGGCAGAGGCTATGCTAATTTAGTCATTAAATGTAAATTTTGCTCAAGAGAAAATTCAATAAGTAAATATATAATAATTTATATCCATTACATAACAATTGCTATTTATATACATAAATAATATATTCTGATTGTTATAATTGAATTCTTATCTCATTTATTATATACTTATTAACTATAATATTGGAATTAATATTAGTTTTTTCAAAGGTATAACAAATAATGTGCCACATAAATATGATGAGGAAGATGAAAGGTATAAGACATTTGCTATCTTTGAATGTAGAGGGATTGAACCTATTGGCTTTTCACCTAGAGTAATATAAAATTAAAATAATAAATGATACTTAACAAATTAAATATATTCTTAGGAGGGATTTTTGGCTAAAAGTTCTGAAAGTGAAACTACATTTGATAATATATCCTTGAAGGAAAATGTAAATATTTTATTAGATATGATGAATTATCAAATTTTAATTCAGATATTCATTTGTGAATTTAATAATATTCATTAATAAAATTATACATATATTCATTAATTTTATCAACAAACATTTCTATTAAAATGAATAAAAATTATATGGGACTACAAAACTAAATGAAACACTTTATCTATTCAATAAATATATATTAATTAATGATGATTTTATTATTGTAGGCTTTTATACAAAATTTGGTATTTTATATTTGAATTTTTAAAACTATTTAGGTTCCTATTTTTATTTAGAAAATTATATTTGAATTATTTGATGATATTAAATCGACAAAAAAAGTTGATTCTTAACCTGACCCCCTTCTATTTTTCTTAAATTTTGTATACTGGTAGTATATACTATAACTAAGAAAAAAAAAATTTCCACACTGTTTATCTGCTAAGATATGGCCATTTAAAGGGCAGAAAAATGGTACATTTTTGACAAAATATACCTCATTTATTTTCAAATATCTTGAGAAATAATTATATTAGAAAAATAATTTAAATTTTATTATGAGCTTAATAATAGTTATTTAGTATAACATAAAAATAAATATGATAGAAATCTGATTAATATCGCAAACCGGATGTATAAAACCAGAAATGGCCATAGAAAAAAAAGGATTTTTTTAATTTAACTTAAGTGTTAAACAAAGCTCATTATACTAGCCACCTCTCAAAAATTTTGATAAAGTTAAAGCCTATCATTTAGACATAATTTTTAAATTAACATTATTTCAAACTATTAATTAAATTTTAATAATATTTTGGGTCTAATTTGTTCAATTATAGCCATATGAAGAGTCGTAACTCCTAAACCCATGTTCATCCCAGTCTAGGATTTTGTACAAATATAAAGCAGTGTGATACCTATCTACAGAAAAAAAATTTTGAAAAAAATACCTTATTTTTATGTCCATTTCTGGTTTTATACAACCGATTTTCGATATTAATAAGATTTCTATCATATTTCTTATCTTATCTAGCATGTTGGTCATAGACTTGCCCAAAATGAGCGAACGTGAATTTTATGAAGGCTCACCCTTCATAAAATTATGCCGTTTTTTTTTCTCAAGGATACCAACAAACCTTGTACCCAGTTGTAGTTTAACTAAATGAGTGGAACTTACCCTTTCCGATATTGTAATAGTAATTTATTAAATTATTATTATAAAGAAATATAAATCTTATCTCTTTTTTACTCTTGAATAACCATATTCATGATAAAGAGTGAGTTAAGAATATTTGAATCCATAGACATCAAAATTCCATTTCATTTGTTAAGTCATATTCTTCCAAAAAATGAACCGGAAAATCTTCGCCATTTGGGATGGATATTTATTTTTATGTCATATTAAAGAACTATTATTAAGCTACATAATAAAATTTAAATTATTTTTCTAACGTAATTATTTCTCGAGATATTTGAAAATAAATGAGGTTCATTTTGTCAAAATGTACCATTTTCCCGCCCTTTAAACGTCCATATCTTAGCGGATAAACAGTTTTGGAAGGCAAAATTTCATTTTTTTCTTAGTTATAGTATATACTACCAGTATGCAAAATTTAAGAAATGAAAGAGGTCGGGTTGAAACCTTGGTTGATTTAATATGGAATTAACCATATATATTAAAGATCTGGTCACATTTTTTTAAAATAAAAATCGTAATGGGCAAGGAAAAGAAAATTTTGGCAGGCCGCTAAAATTTATAGGCTGCTTGGACAATTTAGCATAAAAAATCTGGCTTGACCTCGGAAACCTCATATTTTTTTGTTAAATATTTTATTATTTGAAAAAAATTTCGATATACTTATTTCTTCAGAGATATTTAACTAGAGGTCTGAAAAGTGATCCGAGTCTGACTCAAGCCTAAATTTAAAATTAAAATTTATTGTTCGATTCTGACTCAATACCGAGCCCACATTTTTAAATCCAACCTGACATGAACCCAACTTAAAAAATTTTTATAATTTGACTTTAAAAATTATAATATCTATGAAACAATTAACCCCCATAATCTAATCAAAATCATATACAAAGTTGTATTTTATTTAATTTATATATATATAAATTTTATTCAGTTTAAAATATAAAAAGTAAAGTTAAGATACAATCGAATTTATAAATTATTCCTATAGAGTAGGGTACATATATTAAAAATATACTTTAAAAGTTGTATATTAATTTTTGGGTTTCATTCACTTAGGGGCGCTTATCCACGGCCATTCAAATGTGGCCCTGTCTTGGCTGTGATGTGTCCTCTAAATAAAAAAAAATGAGAAGTTGATATACTTATTGCCTTAATGGCATTCTAACACTCAAGTGTATCATTTAAAATTTATGTTTATGTTTCACATCATCATTTTTCATGTTTAAACAAGTTATCTTTTTACGAAATTTGCATATTTAGGAATGGGTAGACTATGACGAAAAGGCCGGGTGTGCTGTCGGAATCTACGATTTAGAATCTAAATTTATCAGATTATGAAAACGATTATTTATTTATTAAATTGAATATATATTTTTATCGAATATTATGTTTGATTTATAATTATATTTTATTTTTAAATAAGTTTAATTAAATTGCGATTTTTATTGTAATTTTTTTTTCCATATGAAAAGCAGACGAATAAAAAAATGAAAAGATGAATAGTTATAGTTATTAATCTATGACGAATGATAAACATAAATTATTCCTAAATTATAGTAAATATTCTAATTATATGGGTCATTCCATAACAAATCAACCACGATTTGGGCGACCCCCTTCAAATTTTTTAAAATTTGGTTAGCAAAGAAAGGTTAATGTAGTTAAGAAATAGCCAATATTTTAGCCTCATAACATTTGTATTTTTGAAGATATTAGGGTTCAAAATGGCAAAAATGACCTATTTTTACCATTATTATCTGCCTTCATTCAATTAAGCATATCTTAAAAACTACATAATTGTAAATAACAAATTTAATATCAAAATTACGTACAAAAATTCTACTTTCAGATAAAAAAATACTTTATTTTTTTTCCAATTTCCGGTCATTTCATTAATATGCATGGACTAAAAGCGATTTTTTGGAAATAATACGATCTTCATTTTTTAAAAAAAATTTAGTAGACATTACTAAACTCTTCCTTTACATTTATAAAAAAAAATTAGTCTGGGACGCGGCCATCTTCATTCTCAAATTCGATAAAAATATTTAGAAAAGTATATAAATATTTTCCCAAAAGGGGGCGTCTTTGTATAAAATTATATATTAATCAGTTTTTAATGGTTTTTCTTGAACTATTTGATATAATTTAAAGGATTATTCATCTTGTAAATGAAAATAACAACAAATGGTGCTTTCATTCAATTATAGAAATTGTCTATCGATAAAAGAAATTCAATTTATTACTTTAAAATTTTTTATAAAATTTTTTGCCCATATAACATATTTTTATATTTAATGAATATTAATAAAATGTATTCAACCAAGTTTAAAGTTCTTGAATATATGAATCAGAATCTTGTTCATTTCATATATGGCCCCCTAAATAATGAAAATAATTGATATAATATAAATTTAAAAATCTAATATATATCTCACTTTTAAAAGATTCTAATTTTTCAAGTAGCTCATTTACTTTCTTATGACGACAATGTAAAACTACGGCCAGTAGCAGTTAACAGTGAAACTAATGTTAAGATATGACATTTTGGAAAATAAATAGTGTCGTCTAGTGATCTGCATCGGGCCTAATTTTTCAAGCCCGGCCCGGCTCGAAATTTTTTTTAAAAAAGTTTTGCCGGCCCGATCTCCAATCCCAAATTTATTTAAATATAGAAATTAATTTTTAAATTTCAAAATAAAAGACATGTTATATGGCGTTAAGTTTCAATAAATAAAATCAAAAATTGTTATTTTACATAAAAAATTCAATAGAAAATTGATAAATTTAGATATATTTAAAAAAATTTCCAAGGTCCGACCCGACTAGGCCCGAATTTTTTAAAAAATATTAGGCCTGCCGGTACCCGATTATTTTAAATAAAATTGAGCCCGGCCCGAAGCCCGTTGGGGCCGGGCCTAACTTTGCAGATCTCTAGTGTCGTCTATACTTGGATATGTAAAGGAATAAGAAGGTTAGCATGGGTATAAAAACTTTATATTTCTTACTGCTTTTGATTTTTCCCTAAAACAAAGGCTAACCACCAAATCATAAACAAGTTTTTGAAAATCTTTCCCTGAGTAAATAGTTCTTCGGAATCATAATTTTTTTGGGTCATATATTCAAAATATATGCCCTAAATATTTTCTTTAGCGAACTCGTACAATTCATATGATGTGATTATTTGCTTTGAGTAAGGCCTTTGTAAACTAGCTCTAGAGGCAAATCTTTTAACTGAGCCACCAATCTTATTACAAACACTTTTCCCGTGTGCTGTAGCAGAAAAATATCACTCCGCCCGTACCCCTAAATCCATCTCATCATGGTAAATATGTAAATTTTTTACGATTGTGCAGCCATCGGAAAAATAAAAATTTTTATTTGACATACAAATTTTATTAATTTAAAAATTTACCAATGTTTTTTGGAAATAATGTACCGCTCTTGTATAGTGTTGCAATGATTCGGATATCATTACGTAATTTAGGCAATAAATATTGGCAAAATTATCTTTATAACATAACAAAAGGGTGGATGAACAGTGGATTGAGCCCTATTCCAATGATAACTTTGTACTTCATCTTGAAGTATAAAGCTATAGTTAAAAAGCACATAAAATTAAATAATTCGTATAAGTTCAATTTTAGATTGTTTTAATTACAACGATTGTTGCTTTGAAATAGAATGGGGTAATAAAGATTCGATTTTTTCAAAAAAGGCATTGATAAATTCATCTACTGGCTTGGTTATTGTTTCAAGAGTGGTTCTATCTATGGATAGCCATTATTTGTATGTTATAAATTTGATGTCAATAGAACAAGATATTTCTATTCGACGACTTAAATATGTTGACCCTGGTCAATTATCACATTTGCCCATATAAATTTATTTTATTGATTGAAACACTCATTTATTGTTATTCTTATTTACTAAGGGTATGCCGATTTTAGAAAATCCGATCCAATATTTATATTGTTTTGGATTTTTTATCATGATAAAACTTTTATTTTGTATATAATAATTTCATAATAATAAATTCATATTTGAAATATTTTAAAAATATCAAATTATTTTAAAAAAATTGTAGCTAAAATTTTGATATTATTTTTTGGCGTCATATATGAAATGCACAAAATTTCTTATATTCAAGAACTCGAAACTTGGTTGGACATATTTTATTAATATTCATTAAATATATGTTATATGGGCAGAAAATTTTATAAAGTAATAAATTGAATTTCTTTTATCTATAGACAATTTCTATAATTGAATGAAACCCCCATTTGTTGTTTTTTTCACTTACAAGATAAATAATCCTTTAAATTATATCAAATAGTTCAAGCAAAACCATTAAAAACTGATTAATATATATTTTTATACAAAGACGCCCCCTTTCGGGGAAATATTTATACACCTTTCTAAACATTTTTATTGAATTTGAGAATGAAGATGGCCACGTCCCAGACCAATTTTTTTTTATAAATATAAAGGAAGAGTTTAGCAATGTCTACTAAATTTTTTAAAAAAATTGAAGGTCGTATGATTTCCAAAAAATTTTTTAGTCCTTGCATATTAAATAAAATGACCGGAAATTGGATAAAATATATTTTTTTATCTGAAAATAGAATCTTTGTACGTAATTTTGATATTAAATTTGTTATTTACAATTATGTACTTTTTAAGATATATGCTTAACTGAAAGAAGGCAGATAATGTTAATACGTCATTTTTGCCACTTTGAACCCTGATATCTCCAAAAATATAAATGTTACGAGGCTAAAATTTTGGCTATTTCTTAACTACATTAACCTATCTATGATAACCAAATTTTAAAAAAATCGAAGGGGGTTGGCCGAAAATCTCATTTTTTTGCTCATTTGACATGGAATGACCCTTATTCGTTTATTTTTGTAGAATTATATGCAAATATTCTTAATTAGACATTTTCTTAAAAATAAATAAAGCCAAGGTAATTTAACAACTAGGAAGGAATTTTTAGTGTCCTCCATCTTATTACTCTTATCTGAAATTTTGTCGGCTTTTTTGCCTTCTTATCCGGGTCGTAGATCAACGTGCTAAATGAATGAATGAATTTGCAATATTATTTTTTTGATTTTATGATGATAGTGACCTTATGTTTGAAATTTTCAAATTTTTGTAAATTGTAAGATCCTGGTTCCTGGGCCTTAAAGGTGCAAAAAATGACTAATTTCGTAAAGTTTGTAAAAAAAAATTTTAAATTATTTTATATCTCAAAAAACTATTTAAGGTAAAAAAAAAAAATTGAAATTTTACTTGTAAAATAGATGGTGGCTAACGCTGGGGCATCAGTGTCATCAATTAGGGACATGGCTTAGCAACTTACACGATTGTAGATCATACTAGAGCAGATATAGTATTTTCAATTACTCGTTTAGTAGACGAACCGAAAAATATGCTATTATTTCAGCATCAAAAGTTAATATATACAAGATTATGAAGTACGGATAGAACTTTGTTGCTAAATTACCAATAACAGGATATTTTTAAAAAAAAAATGCTAATTCGAACCCAGTTTCTACTTGACCCCATTTAAAATTGTTAAATATTTACTGGAATTATTTAAATCCGGGGTTCCTAACCTTATTACGCGTTTTCTAGGTTATAATCTTTCTTTCTCTCGCCCCTACCAAAATTTTTTATCAAATTTAAATGTTGTTTAAAAAGCCCGAGTTGGGTCTATTTTAATTTTTTTAAAAAGGCCCCATTTAAGATTATTACCAAAATAACATTATGTAAGCCTAAAGATTTAGCGCACAGCTTGGCGGAAATGCTTCATCTATTTGCCAAATCGCGAAGCTCACCTAATATTTATAATTAAGCTAAAATCTTAACCTTTTTAACAACATAATATTTATCCTTATTTAGCGTAAAAATGAACGAAACACAAAACATACCCATTTCTTTAAAATTGAATAATATTGTTGATTTTAAAATATTATCATATTTAAGTAGTTTTTTTTTTCAAAGAAATTTGGCGTAATAATTTTAATTATATTTACCTTGCTTATTCAGCTTAAAATGAAGGAAATTGTATTCAACTTCTGATATTATTTTATTTAAAATTTATTTTATAAAAGAAGAAGATGTTTATGTTAAAACGAAGAGATAATTTGTACATAATACTACTATTCTCATGTATTGTAATCCTTTTTTATGAATTTATTTTCAATTATCACTTCTATTCAGCAAGCTATCCGCTCAGGGTTATCGATATTCATAAAATTTTCTCTAAATACCATAATCAACTAGGTATGAACAATATATCTCGCGTTCAAAATGGGAGAGTTCGTTTACTCAGCCGCGAAGATATTCAACAACTTAATAGAACTTGGATAGACACGAAATTTGACGCATATAGTTACCTGAAACGGCGTTTTTCCTCTGATTATCGCCAAAATATAAATGCGAGTTGTAATCGAGATATTGGCAATCGCCAAGATTTTAGTAGCGAATGTTTGATAGACCCCATTACGGCAGTACGGTTCAATTTTAATCGAGATATTTTGGCATTTGTGCACATACAAAAGACCGGAGGCACCGGATTCAGTTCAATATTGGTGCACAATGTCCAAGTAAATCCTGGGTGTTCCTGTAGAACACCAAACGACACCAATCATCAACGCATAATATGCTTATGCGAACGCCCAAATTTAAAATCTTTGGAGAAAATTATAAACAATATTACTGAATACGGTGGTACCAAAAGTTGGCTTTATAGTCGATTCACCTATGGCTGGAAGTATTGCGGGTTACATCCCGTATTCGACCGTATGCGTGACTGTCTTCCTGTGGTAATGAAGCTATATGATTTGTCCGAAAACACTAATTCTTACCAAAATTTTATCAGGGAACACCATATTAAGGTAAAAGCCGGCATATTCTACCCAAACAAAAGACACGCAAAATTATTCAATGATCCAATGTAATTGTATAATACATGTTTTTAAAAACCATTTTATATTTAAGATTTTCATTAATTTACCTAATTTTATATAAATAAAGACTTGCAAAAGTGTCATTCTTAACTAATTTCCATCTTCTTTTTTGTAAAATTTTCTTAACTATACATTTCTAAGTTAGGTCCAAACACCTTCCATAAGTTCTCTTAAATCGACATTATATTTTTTTTAAACAATTATCAAAAATTTCATACAATGTTTCCAACCGGAATGTATAACGATTAAAATCCTATTCTGGTGGTGCTTAGTTTAAAAATTTTTAAAGCAGAGTTGCCTTCTGTCTGACTAATATTTGATCAAATTTATATCGGTTTATTTAGCTTATTGAACTTTTCCCAAAGGAGGAATCGAATAATTAATTATTCGAATTCGATCTTTCGAAACGAATAAATTAGCATTTTATTTGTGGAATGTAACGACTAAAATAACTGGTTACTTTATTTTAAGACATATTTAAAATATTTATATATCTTTGGGTCAATATTTTAATTATCTAGATGCGCTAGAGGTCAGCAAAGGAGCGCGTTTTAACTCAAACTCCCGCCATTGTTTTTAAAAATATATAACCCGATCGCCTGCCCATGGTAATTTATTAAACCCCTCCTCCCCCATTTATCTAAAAAAAAAACTTGGTAGACCCGCCTCAATGTTTAAGTTATTTTTATAGGTTGGTTTGGGCTCTTTATTTGTTTTATAATGTATTTTTCAGAGACCCGAGGAGGTGCCTGTTGTGTTTTGTACTTTTACAATTACGCATATATATAATTTTAGATACGAGATGTCAGTTAACTTCTACATTATATGTAGTCATACATATATATATTTATATATAGGAGATGTCAGTTATTTTCAACGTTATTTGTATTCATACATATATTTATAATATTATATATGAAATTTTTATATATATATTGCTCGTGGAGCAATTATTAATTATCATTTGTCTTGGATTTTCTTTTGTTTTGTATTCGGTAAAATCATTTGGTAATATTCAGAAAATAAAGTAGTGCAAATCAAATATTCTTTTCCGGAAGGTTTGAAAGTAAGTAAGATAAGGAGGTGGAGAGGTAAGGGAGAGTTGTTTTTTGATAGTGCCCAATTGCTCCGCCACTACCCAGATACAATTTTTGACTTGCAATCACCCTATATTCAAAATTATTTTGCCAAGTAATTTTATAAGAAAATTTAACCAAAGTGAATAATCCACATTAGTGATCTGCATCGGGCCTAATTTTTCAAGCCCGGCCCGAAATTTTTTTAAAAGAGTTTTGCCGGCGGCCCGAACCCAAATTTTTTTAAAAAAAAATTACCGACCCGGCCCGGCCCCAATTTATTTAAATATAGAAATTAATTTTTATAATTACTCAAAATAAAAGACATATGTTATTATGTCGTTTAGTTTCAATAAATAAAATCAAATATTTTTATTTTACATAATAAATTCAATATAAAATTGATAAATTTAAGATATATTTTAAAAAAAATTCCAAAATACGACCCGACCTGGCCCGAATTTATTTTATAAATATTAGGCCTGGCCCGGTCCGAACCCGATATTTTAAATAGAATTAGGCCGGCCGGGTAAGGACCGTGCCTAACTTTGCAGATCTCTAATCCATTAATATTTTTTTTTTGTTAAATAAATTACATAATATTTAATAAAAATGATTACCTAAGTAGATTCGTTAAATTTAAATATGACGATATTTATAATAAAATATGATCAATTTTAGCCATATAAAAGGTCATAACTCCTAGACCAACTTTCATCCCCATCTAGGATTATTTTGTACAAATATTAAGCTGTCTTGTAAAATAAAAATTATTTCCGGTTTTTTACTTCCGGTTTTGGGTATTAATCGAGTTTTCTATCACATTTATTTATAGGTCATTATTAAAGATCCATTATTAGGATAATTAATAAAATTTAAATTATTACTCTATCTTAATTTAATCTTTGAGAAGATATATTTGAAAATTAATGAAGCGCATTTTGTCAAAAATGTACCAATTTTCCGTTCTTTAAACTCCTATATCCTAGGGAGTAAGTTGTTGTATAAAGTAAAAATTTCATTATTTTTTCTTAGTTATATCATATATTACTAATATTCAAAATTTAAAAAAGTTCTGAGGGAGTCGGGGTTGAAAATCGACTTTTTTTTTGGTTTGATTTGATATAGAATTAATCATAAACAAGAAAAATTTTTTAAGAAAGGTTTAATATGGATCAAACAAAATTATCGTCTCGATTCAAAAATGGGTATAAGACATTACTAATATTGGCCAAAATTTAGAGACATATTTAATGAGGGCTGTAACCTTCTAGGCATTGTCTAGAATGATACTTGGCAGTAGTGTTGCTAAACAGCTATATTAGGCGATTTCTAAAAACGGATATCATAAATATTTTATCCAGAAAAATGTTATGCGAGCCTCATAATTTTCCTTATAGATGCACAAAGATTTGGAGATCTATTAGCAAAATCTCTAGGCTTAGGCAATATTTATCTGGAATATCGAGTTAGCCATTTTAAAAAATTAAATCGATTTTAACAAGACTACCTGACAGTGCCTAGATATTTCATTTTTCCTAAATATCTTAAATTTATTAGGATGCTTCAGTTGCCTTGCATACCTCATTATTGCAAATAGTCTCAAGTTCCAATCAAACTTCTATCGCCAAAAACAACTTTTGACTTTTCACAATAAAGGTCTAATCATTGTATTTCTTTGCGAAATAGTATCCTTATTTCTTTTGGTTAACTGTTAATAAAAGATTTTTTTCTAAGCATATCATTTACCTAAAAAGTAGGAGAGACTGGGGATAGTCGAACAGATTTGGGCAAAATCGGCTATAACTCCTGTGTTTAATTTTTCAGATATTGTAAAGAACAATATATGGATTTAATAGTGTAAGACTAAATTTCACAATTCTTAAATTTGTTTTAAGATATATATTATTTATATCATCCGCTTGATTTCTATAAAACACATATATGGGGTAGGGTTATCTTCAAAATATAAATAAAAAATAATATATATATATATGGAGTTTTGAATATCTTTTTTATCATATGACTATTTTGATCTACGATTTTCCTTGATAATTCATATGCAAACTACGTTTATATCTGATTTTTTTCGCCTTCGGACGCCATTTAAAGCCATTGAGAAGAGATTTGACGGGATCAATAAATTTGTTAATATTGTCACTGATCTCGATTTTTGAAGTACCCCAATAATTTTAGTGACAAAAAAAGTTATTATTTAAGCCTGGAATCGTAGATGGCAGGAAGGTTTGGAGATCTATCAACAAAATCTCGAGGATCGCGTCATATTATTTTGGCAAAAAAAAGTTGAAAGCCGTTTAACACTTATGTGAAGTTTTCCGACTATGACTGAATTTTTTTTTTCACTTAAAATCAAGAATTCTCTCGTGAAAAATTGGGATCAATTGGAATTCCCGGTTCAAAAATAATTGTAAAAAAACAAAACTAAAATGATAATTTTGCAGATAGTCCAAAAAACTCACGATCTTACCTTCTTCCCTTTACCATTAGTTACTACAGTTTAAAACAATGGCCAATAAACGAAACTCATAAATTGGCATAACTTAAAAAATTTATGATCCAAAATAAATTAATAAATCATCATTAAACTAACTTTATTTTACCATATTAAGATCATTTTGATTATAACTACACATAGAATTTTGGGTGCAGAATTGATAAAAGAGACAAAATGTAAAACTGGCGCTACTTTTTTGAATTTGGGTAGTATATTTTTTTTAAAGAAAAGGTTATGTTTGACCTACTTGTTCAATTTGAATATTGGATAAATTAGTTTAGTCATATCCAATGACATATAATATTACCTAGACTGACGATGCATTTATGATGATGCATTTTAAAGCGTCGTCGAATACAAATCAGCTGGACCCGCCATTTTGGTAACCCATATACTAATTATTCTCATGTTAAAAACTACTATTAAATTGATAACTTGCTTCCTTATTATCTCGATGATCAGGCAATTCTATAATATAGTTTGCGTCAGACATAGGAGTAAATTGGCCTCTCGTTTAAAATTTTTAATAATGATTTGGATAACCAAAATGGCGTCCTTAGCTGTTTTTCATTGATGTACACTTTTAACGATTGCATCGTCAGTCTTGGTATTACTCTATGTAATTGACCATATCATACTAGAATAATCCTAAATCAGGCATCATGTTTAGTTTAGACTAAATATAACAATTTAATGCAAGTGGACAAGTATATATACATTAAATTTTATTTAAACAAAATATATATAATAAATTTGATTGACAATCTTCCCCCCTAACCTAAATAAATTTAGATACTTTGTCACGATGCTGAGAGAACCTATGAAAAGATACGTGAGCGAATACAATCAGATTCGTAGAAGAGGTGATTGGGCCGAGCAATTCATATTGTGCGAGAAGGAAGTGTTAATTGTTCGTTCTACATGCTTTGGCCACATTCAAAATTTTTCGGAGCTCACATTGGAAGAGTTTGTCTACTGTCAAAATCAATGGTCAAATAATCGCATGACAAGGCATCTAGCCGATATGTCAATCATAGAATGTGATAAAAGGTAAGGAGTGTATGATAACTACTATATTCTTTCGATACCCTAATTAATCCTATACTTGAAACTTTTCGTATTAGATTTTTGGTAATATTAAAACAGTAAACGGGAGAGATTATATTATACAAAGTTGTTCAAATAATTATTAATAGAACTTCTTAATTTTAGGCAATAAATTTTTGAGAAAAAAAATTTATGATAAAGTTAGTTTGATTTTTTATTTGTTCAAAGTTGATCTAATAATTATTAACAAAAGTATTATAGATTGTATATATTCATTTTAAACTAATGATTCGTAAACATATTTTATAAACAATATTATAATTTAAAAAAAAACACTAATCACAGTCTATCAACTGAACAAAAGAATCATATTATGCTAGAAAGTGCCAAGATTAATTTGCAATTAGGGCTCAAGGTATTCGGCATAACTGAATATGTGCCAGAAACTATCTACCTATTCGAGAAAGTGTTGGGAATATCCTTCAGTAATAAAGAGCTTTTGAAAAATAAAGAGAGCAAATCTGAGGATAGGATCAAATGTTTGGATCAAGATATGTTGATAAAAATAGCGCAAAATAACCAGTTGGATGTAAAGCTCTACGATTTCGCTTTAGAACTATTTCGTGAAAGACTCACAAAATTCGGATATAACCAGGGGATGGTCTTATGAAAATAAAAATAATAATAAATCAATATCGTGATTTTAATATTTAGGTGTAGTTTCAATTAGGAATTGGGAAAAAAACAAATATGTTTTATATGTTTTTTTCAAACAAGGAAAAAGAGATTTTTTTTAAAAAAAAAACAACAAAAAAAATAATTTAAAAAAAATGAAAAGAAAAACGCATCACAATGGAAATTTATTTTAAAATTGTGTATAATATTTTATTTATTATTTGTTATTTTGGTTATTGTTTCTTATTTTTTCTTTTTATGTTTATTTTATAAAACATTAATAGGTGATTGGTTGTTTTTTATGATTGGTTTATTATTTTTTACACATATTTTATTTTAATTTATTTTTATATAAATTTAATATTTTTTTTTCTAGAATTTTTTAAAGAAATGAATAAAGTTGTATATTTAATTGAATATTTCTAATGCTTCCTCAAACTTTATTAGTTACATTTTATTAAAATTTATAAAATCGTAAAACAACTGTTTAAAAATATTAGATTTAATTATTGCTATTTTTTAAAAAAATAATCTATATTCAAGAAGATATTAACGAATATTATCTCGATCCCCATACCTTTTATAGTTCATCTTAAGATATCTAGGAAAATAATTCCCCGGAAAAAAAAAATTCCGTTTATTAAGATATTAAAAATTACAAAATTAATATAATAGGAGAAAAAATTACCTGTAAATTTATCCACAAAATAAAAATCCTCAAATAAAATGTTTAAAAATTTTAAGAAAATCAATTCCGAGGAATGATTTTCTAAGAAATATTATTGGGGATTTCTTTTTTCCGGGGAATTATTTTCCGCTTACCCATCTTAAGATTTCACCCCAGTCTTTCTTTGGTGTGAATGAATCTATAAATTGCATAGACAACAGATATCCGGTGAACCCTGCGCGGGATGTCTGGGTCGGGCTCGGATATTGAAGACTTTAAGCTAGGAACTGGGCTGTATAAGGGAGCCCGACCCGAGGCCCCTAAAATTTAAATATTAAAAATATCCTCAATAATCAATTTTACTTTATCGAAATGTATATCGTAATCATGTGTCATTCTTCATCTATTTCTCTTATTCATTTAGGCAATTTTCAACCCCCGCCCCCCCTTCAATTCATAGTTAGCACGTATTGGCGGGCGAATTCTACAAAATACTAATATTTTTATTTGATAATTTTTGTCTTATCTAAGATCTATTCAATTAAACAGCCTCAAAATTTTATATTTAAAAAATTGAGGGTTAAATATATTTTTATTTAAGGTGGCAATATGTTAACAAATACAAATAATTTTTAATTTTATTTTAAATAAATATTTAAACTCAAATTCCAATTTTTTTTTAAATTCGGGCTTTGGTCGGGCTGGAACAAAAATTTTACTATTAGCTACGGACACAAATCTTTCAAAATTCGGGTTCGGTCCGCGAAAAAATTACTTTGCAGGGCTTTAACCTCTGACTGACCAGGTTTTGGGTCATAATTTATTTGATTATATCTGAGATAAATAAATTTATAAAAAGAATATCTTACTACCACTTTTAAATTTATAGAAAAAATAATAAAATTATATATGACATAACCACGAGTCAATCATAATCGTTAAATCCTCTATGACATTATCTTTTACTACACTCAGGGTTATGTATCAATCTCAAGTCGTTTAGGCACTCAGAAATATTTCATTTGTCTCAACCACTATTATATACTTTTAAAGATGAATTTCAACATTTGTATTATGCCCCCCCCCCCCCACTGTTCCTATCTAAATGAGTTGAAACTATATAGAACCTACATACCTCGCGAAATTTCTCTAACTTATATTAATTAAGGTATAAACAATATTTTACTTAAAATTAGCATCTTGCAATAACATTTCGATCCTAATTAAATTCTTTTCGAAACACTTGAAATATTATAAACGACCTGAAAATAATTCAACTGCAATAATTAGCATATATATATATATACATTGTCTTTTAGACTATTTATTGGGGTCGCCCCAATACTCATTTTTGCGGGGCTTTGGTACGCTTTTACCCGGCCTTCGGGTTCATATTATGCATGTTTTTATTATTTCTTATATTCTTAAACAATGTCTAAAACGATGGGTTAAACACAATATTGCAGTTATCACAATTTTATTAAAAAAATTACTATAGTTTCCCAAATAGAATTTAAATAATGAGTGTATTAATTATTTTTAAGCTAATAAATCTCGCATTGACTCTCAGCTTTGGCGCCAATAAATAAATATTCGAAATCAATTACAATTAAAGTCCTAATTTGTCACTGAATACATTTTTCTAATCGTGAAACTTTCTTCAAGGCCAGAAATATTTTAGACATTTATTTCATTAAAATGGATACAAATATTGCGCATTTTATATAAGCCTTTTATTCATTAAAAATCTTATGGTAGTTAATTTATAATTTGATCAATTGTAGGACGAAATTCCTGTAAAATATAGAGATTAATGGATCTTAGAGCGTTCATCTTACCATTCATCACTATACATCCTCCTTGTTAGACCTATTCGTGTTTTTTTACACTTTATTTGTGCCCAGATGTTATCTGGTGTCAGGAATATTTTTATTTAAATTTTTAGCCATTTTTATAGCTTTATTTCCAATGGAGGTGAAGGTTATAAAAGATACAAAAGACTCGACATTTTCAATCATTTTCGCTTATAATATTTTAATTTTTTGCTTGAAAATATTAATGAGAACTGCTCCCATTATTTCGAAAAAAACATCAAAACATATTTAACGTCTTAAATTTGCTTAGATTTATCAATAAAAGAGATCGGGCATAAGAATCTCTCTTCATCATATAACGATCTAAAATCTTTATCACGTGCCCACCATCTTACTCCACCTATTTGTGAAGATATGGCAGCCTCCTTAAGCCGGATAGATTATTTTCGCCAAAATCAATTATTGTCTTTATACTATATAATTGCAAACCTAATAGTTTGCTACGTATCTCCCTTATTTTTTAAATATTAAATTCCTAATTTTACCTAGAACAGCATCAATAACTTATAAACAGTTGTCTTTGATATAAAATTATTAGAGAACGTCTTCCCTTGAATTTCGATTCATCGGGAAATTTTGGCTTTCCTTATCTACTTTTGTTCCTGAAAATAGCCTTTTCTAAATTGGGTGTCTAAGTATTTATCATTTTTTTTTGATATGATTCGTATCACCACACCATAAGGAAAATCAAATGATTTAAATTTTTTAATTTCAAAATCGACAAGTGTTTCACTGTGGTCTGATCTACGGTAAGATTTGTTTATTATCTCATTATCTTAAATATGTATATTACAACATGGATGTTATTGCATTTATTATTAATAAAGCTAATTGATTTATAATAAATTTATAAAATAATGTAGAAAAATAAAAAAATCAATCAATTTAATTTTCATTTAAACGGACACGAAATTTTTTTTTTGTATTAAAAAAATCCCATTACAATATCTAAATGATAATCCTCAGAAAATATATTTTTTTATACGAATTCGAATGATCCTTCAATGTCCTCATTTGATTCTCTTTATTTAAATATTCTTCCCAGTAAAATTTCGATCCTGGTTCAACGTGTATCACTTTAATTACATGTAGAAATTTAACACAAAAATTGCACTTTTTTTTACAATCAATGATAATAATAATAATTGATTGACATCCTTCTAAATATAATCCTATAAACTAAATATAATTATTTTATTATTTCAACAATATTAATACGATATTCTAAATGCTAAAAAAGTGAAATATGATAACTTACATGAATATGATAAGAAAAAGGTCTAACATAACCTATAATGATAAAAAGAAATAACATATACATTATATTTTCTTTCTGGCCGGCCTTTTTATAAATTTTTTTTAAATGATCGTCCTCAAAAATGAACATCGCGGCCTCCTGGTCAAAATGACCACTTGTGCCATCACCAGTCCGCCCCTGAACTAGTTCCTTATATGTTCTCATAATAATCTAAAATTTTACATGTTAATCATATAATTAGATGCAAAAAACGGAAAATTTCGAAAAATGAGAAAGAAAATATTTTTTCGAACTATTTTTAAAATATAATTTACTGTTTTAAGGAAATTTTATTTTTGTCACCTAAGGAAATTTTATCTTTTCACCCTCGAATCCACAACTTTTTAAAAGGGTTCAGGGTTAGATTCTGGTTGAGAAGAAAAAACATAGAGTCAGGGTTTGGGTTAGCATCTCTTCAAAAATATTTTTTTCCTTTTTTTCTGTTTGTTGAGTTTAGACCTACAAAAATACGAATCGAATCGAATAATTGCATTATTCGTATTCGATTCGAAATTCCAAATCGAATAATGGAATTATTAGTTTTCGTTTTAAATCGAATAATTCATTATTCGTATTTGTAGATTAATAAAATGATTATTCAATTCGATTCGTCGAATATTCGATTCAATTCGAAAATTTTATTTAACCATAAATAAAAAAATATTAATTTCATTTGGTAAAATTTAACTATGGATAAAAGACAAACAAATTTTATTAGTAAGATAAAATAGAAGCTTACATATATAGTATATAAATATTATAATATTCATATCATGTAGAAGACAAATATACTAACAACAAATTTTTTAAACACCAAGTTTTTGCAAAAAATCAAATTTATGATTTCTCCATCATCAAACAAAGAAAAAATATCTGGTTCGCCCGTCATTCATGACGGGATAGCCACTAGTTATTTTATGTGTTATAAATTACATATAAATAAATACTTTCTTCGTTCATCATAAAACAATTTTCGGTAGTTAATTTTGTATTATGAATTATTCGAATAAAAAATAGCCGTTAACAACATTTAGAAATATAAAATTTTTCTTCATTATTCCACTAGGAATATTAAATAGGTACTTTTAATAATATATGATTATTTTTCGATATTTATTAATATAAATTATTTTAATCGAATAATCTCGAATAATAGATAAAAAATTATTCTACGAATAATATATTTTCATTATTCGAATTCGATTCAAATTTTTGAATCGAATAATTGTGCTATTCGTATTCGTAAAATACGAATCGAATCGAATAACAAATAATTCGTTTTAGGTATAAAGGAATTTACAAAAGGTCCTATAAAAAAACAATGGAAGCGATACGCAGGCAAGACGAAGCGAAATAGCTATACGGTTCTTTATTAGTTAAAAAAATACAGAGATTTTTGCTTGGAATAACCGACGCCATTCATAGCCTGATTTGGAATTCGGTAGATTGGTTGAGAGATTGTTCTAAATGAATAACTCGAATAAAAAATAATCAACGGGGTGAGACACTAGGGGAATATCCCAAGCATATGCCAGGCTGGCAATTTCACACCCAGCGCGAATAGCGCCTTATAGGTCAAAAACATGACTAATAGGTAGTGATGCAAAATCGATATTTGAGTCGATTTTTTAAAACGGTAAACTCAATATTTTATATTGCCTAAGACTTGAGATTTCGCTAATAGAAGACGACATCAGTACCAATACGGCCTGTTATGAATTTTGATTGGCATCCTCCCATTATCAGGAACTATGACGCTCGGGTCCAGACCCCGAAAGACGGAGATATGCTACAAAGAGCTGTGGCAGTTTTGGCTACCGAAGTCTCTCAGCCAGTCGATACGGACGTATTCTAGGGAAACCCCATGTCCGCCTAAGAAAATTATTCGTGGAGTATTTTTATGACACTAGAGTGAGTGAACTTATTTTCTTTTACCACAGCGCAGTCTCAATTATTTAGATATATTTTTGTATAAAATTAGATAGTGTTAGTAAATGTTATTTTAAATACAGGCATGCCATAGGCTCATAAAGGGGTGGCATGTCGTAGTTTTATAGATAAATTTATATTAATTTTTGTGTAATGCCAATCAACTAAAATAAATAAGTTTGATTGGATTATAATTATAATAATAGAACACGTGATATTTTTTTTAATTGTGTGGATAAATAATTGCAAAAAATATATTTTGAATTATAGCGATTTGTGAGTTTTTTTTTGATATTTTGAATTATTGTGATTTTGATATTAATAAAAGAAATTCTTAGACTAGATTCTAGTTGATTTAGTTGTCATTAAATTATAATTTGAGTATAGAAAGGGTTTTCAGGTAAGGGTATTTGTTTTTTTCCTATAGTTTTTTTTCACCTTCTATGTACAGAATCTTCAGACTTGAAATATTTTTCTGATTAAGTTCGCCATTTTTAAAAATCGGCTCAAAACAACCCTTTTAAACACTAATGATTATCCCATAAATTATAAATATAAACATGTCAATGTCGTTTATTGGCAATATATCACAAAGTGAATATATATAAGAATATATTTCACGAATAGTTATTATATATAGATCAGTATCAAAAGGGATCGTTAAAATAAATATCATGAACGGTTCCTAAACCAAAACCGGTACAATTCAAATGGACGATTCGAATAATACTCTAGTTGGGTCAATGCCACCAATACGATAAATTGAATGAATCCCGAGGATTATAAATTCCAACTTTGTAGGAACTTTGAAGAGATGGACACTGGGTGTATGAAGGGTGGGGGGCAGTTTGCAAACATACAAAATAAATAATATTAATTTAAAGATTGTATGAAATGTCAATCAATTATTACATATTTTGTTTAGTGTAAATGAATGGAAGTTTTTTTTCCCCTGAAATTCAATGATGTTTTTGTAATGAACGTGAATTAAATTATTATCGGAAATAAAAGGCCTATAAATATTTGAATTATTTTCTGCGAATCATTATTGGGGAAATTAAGCTGTGTAATAATATTAATGGTAATAATTTTATCGAGAATAAAAATTGGTGATTATCATAAATACAACTATGGACAAATTCAAATTTTTTTTTTTGGTCTCTTAAAATTTATAAAATATATAGTGGCTTTTGCATTTAAAAGAGTAAAATATTTTAGTCATCTTGTTGCAATCCTTTGAATATATATTTTTCCATAATCGCAAACATTTTTTTCCAAGCTGCGGCTTCGGCCTCCGAAAAGGAATCCCCCAATACACCACCACAAGTATCCAAAAAGACTATCCACAAATTCTTAATGGTTGTTTTAATGTGTTTATTATTAGATAATAATATAATAAAAAAATGGTTATATTTCTTTAAAAAAAATAATATTTATTAATCAGCACCGACTAGTTATAGGAGATCTCACTTTTAAAGGCGCCAGAATCACTAAATAAAGTTAGTGCCAAAACTGTAGGTTTAGAAATTGAGAGGAGAGTGCTAGACGTCAATTTAATATGATATTGACAGTAAGAGAGGCAGAGGTGGCACAAGCATCTGGGTTAAATGACATTAGCCATGAAGAAAACCTGGGTGAGGTCAACTGACGAGAAATGTGAATAGACAAGAGGGCCATCTAAGGAGACATGGTGAGGGAATCCGGAGGTAGCGAAAGCTCTGGACGAGAAACGGAGGTGCTTCAAAGAATGGTATAATACTTAAGAAAATAGTGATAACGATATTTACAAGGTGGTGAAAAGAATTGCTGAAAAAGAGAGAAGAAGAAAATATAGAGGAGTTTGCTAAGGAAATGGAATCCGCGAAAGGATTGGGAAATGTGCGAATAGCAAAGCAGATGGCAAAAAAGAGTTTTAAATATATGGAAAGAATGATTGATAAAGTGGTATTAAGAACACCTGGAAAATCTACATGGATGGACTTTTGAAGAAGGGAATCAATGGGATAATGATGTTAGTTATGGAAAGGTAGATGGTCCAAGGTTTAAATTTGGCAAAGGATGAAAATTAAGAGAGCAGTGAAAAAGATGAAAAAAGGAAGGCAGAATGTTTAACGAGGGTGATATCAAAGATGTTTAAAGGTTTTGATGAATTAGGTTATTGAATTTAACCAAACAGTGTCACAGAAGGAACTATTCCCTGGGATTGGCGAAAAAGTATAATTATTCCAGTATACAAGAGATCGCATATATTACAGAGCTATTAGACTCCTGGAACATACATAGAAAGTATTGAGAGGGTGTTAGGGATAAGGGAACAAATTAAAATTAACGAAATTCAGTTTGGTTTTGCATCTAGGAAAGGCAGATAACCCTTTTTGGTGAGACAAATATTGGAGAAGTATCTTGCAGAGGAAAAGAAACTGTATTATGTGCTTATTGATTTGTAGAAAGCTTACTAGATGGACCTTGAGAAAATCAGGTGTGGAAGAATAATTGAATATCGCAGAGATGTCAATCTGGAGCACAAACTGCTGTACGGACCGATGATAAAGATAGTGAAAGCTTTGAAGTGAAGGTAGGACTTTATCAAGGATCCTTGCTAAGTCCATTATTATTTATCTTAGTAATGGATGTGGTGGCTAGAGAAATGCGTGAAGAACTTCCCTGGGAGCTATTATACGCAGATGACTTTGTATCAATGGCAAACAGTGAGGAAGAATTGAGGGGCAAAAATTATTAGATGGAAGATGGCTATGGAAACAAAGAGCTTGAAATTGAATGCAGCAAAGACAAAGGTGATGATTGGTGGAGATAATCTGAAGATGGAGGAATCCAGCAACTGGTGTGGTGTATGTGAAAAAGGAGTAGTTATAATTCAATCCAATACACTAGATACCAGAAATGGGTACATAATAGATTATGCGGGGAAAAGGAAGTCTGATGTTTGCAAAGAATGACTTTTATTTGTAGAACGTTCATAAAAGGGTATACTGATAACGTTGAAAATGGTGGTTTAAATAAGTTGATAAGTTTTATTACTTGAGCGATATGCTAAATGCAGATGGTGGGGTAGATTCTGTTGCTGTTGCGAGAAGCATGGAAATAGTTTAGAGATGTCGTCTATTCTATCAAATAAAAAAGTCTCTCTAAGGTTAAAAGGGGAAAGTTTGAGTGAGGATTTATTTAGTTTATGTAATAATGAAAGCGATCTACGAGGCCAAATTAGAAAGAACAGATATGAAGATGATTAGATAGATCTGTGGAATGAAAAATCAGCAAAGAATAGCGACCAAGATTGGGTATAGAGTAATGATTGGAGTGGTAATGCGAAAAAATAGACTATGATGGTTTTGGGAACGTGAAACGTTTGACAAAAGATGACTGGTTAAAGAGATGCACCTTGATCGAAGTAGGAGGATCAATACTTAGAGGAAGGCCCAAAATGACGTAGATAAAAGTGTTAGCGAATGAGAAAAATGAATTATACAAATATTGATGTTCAGGACCGTTAAAAATGAAAAAAAAAATCCGAGAAAAAACTGGCCAACCTGGGTACCTGGAAATCGCTATTAAACGGAGAATAAGAATTAGTATACAATTACTAAAATATCATGTTCATTAATCATGATATAAAATATCCCTACAACTAATGCTAATGGTATAGAAATTATAACAATGTGTGTGTTGTGTAATTGTGTTTAAATCTAATCTCGAATTTCTTATCAATAGTCTTTTTTTAAAATTTATATTTACTTTTTTGCTTTAACGTAATGTTTAAATGTACGTAAAAAGTTATTCAAACTTGAAAATATTCAGGGGTTAAGCCAAATCTGGCATGCATTACTCCATTTGCGATCAATAATTCCTCTAGGCATTCCGGATCATCGAGATTTTGAACCATGGCAAAGACTGTTCATTACCTTAAATAATATATTTTTTACAAATAACAATCATCTGAGAGTGAAAAAAATAATCTTCGAAAAAATTTTGAGCAAAAATCTTTGAAGTCTTCATGGAAGATTATTCGTGCGGTAAAAGGTATTTTTTAGATAAAATATTTGATCAAAAATCTCTTCTTTAAAAAGATATCCTTTAATTGCTCAAAAATGTATTTGATAATTATTTTTTTTAAACTCTGAATCACAATATAGGTAGAAAAAATATGTGCATTATATTACCGGCAATAAGCGTCATCATTATATTTCATACACTCTCTAATTTTTAATTTAAATAACTTGAAAGTTCATCATCGAATTGTCTAAAATGTATAAAATAGGGTATTTTAAAGGGGATATTTTACACAATACTGAAAAGGAATATTTTAGCCAAGATCAGTTATCTTCATTTAGATCAGATCCTCAAATATAAAAACCTACCGCAAAGCATTTTTCATTATGCCAGAAATGTAAATCCCAGATTGTGTTAAATATCGATCCCTTTCAGATAATTCTTAAATATTATTACAGATATTGCCTGATTGACCTCATTGTCGGTAACAAATATATATATATTATATACCGTGACACCGTGAGCTTTCATTTGTCTAGAACTGGCTAAATCTTCCATCGAGATTCGTTCCAATTTGATAAAAAGATTTTTGTAATCTGGGTAGGCCTTGAATAAACTAGTAAAATAAAGAATCCAGTCATACCATATCTAAAACGGAATGTTTTCATACTTTATGAATAGTAGGACCCCTGACTCTTTTGGGGTTTTCATCAGTTTAAGCCAAGTTTCGTTGACCATCGCTATTTCATCCGTATTCAACTGTATTCCCATTAGTTATTCTTGTATTTTTCTTTAAAAAATAGTTTATAGAAATATACATATATATATATTTATATATCATCATCCCCCCTAGTGTCGCTAAAAGGCTCGATTTTGAGCCGATTTTTAAAAACGGCTAACTCATTATTGTAGCCGGAAAAAATATTGCCTAAGTCTCGCGATTTCGCTAATAGATATCCAGCTTGTTGTGCCATCTACGAGCAAGATATTCAGCCTAGCGTAATATTATCATGAATAAAATATTGAGCTAGTCGTCGGTTTTAAATTTCGGCTCAAATCGAGCCGTTTAAAAATACTAGCCCACCACTGCAAGACTTCTTAACAAGTATTTTTTTGGGATAAATGAGTTCATCTTTATAAGCCCGCTACCATATCTAAAAAGAATTATTTTTTTTTAAATTAAAACGAGGAAATAATAACAAGCATGAAAAACCTCGTAAGTGGGCATAGGGGTCTTATATGTGAATATTTTTTCTTAAAAATCAATCTAATGTAGATACATTATAATTAAAAGTCAAAATTTTTTAATAAGTAGTAATAATATTTTATAATTATACAAATAACAGTTAAAAAAGTTATATTTTTTTTGTCTCTCCTGAGCAATTTCTAATTATACTAAAGAGGTATTGCAGTGGTGACGACGATCTACGACTTGTAATCATGGTTTTATCAAACAGCAAATTGTTCGATAAAAATATATATAATCAACATCTTATTTAATAATCATAATTATAATCAATCTTGATATCGTATCAAACTAAATTATCGAAAATCATAATTAATAATTTAAATTAATAATATACACTTCAACATGTAATATTAATATCGAAATTATTTTTTAACTATATAGAAGAGAGGGGGGTTATATGGCAAGTGTTTTGATATTCTGCAATAAAAATTATTATTTTATAAATTAAACTAATTGTTTAATTGAATAGTCTCATTGCTAGATTATAAAATACTTTAAAAATGGGGTCTTCAATCAAAAATACACTGGGCGCTATTCAGGATTAGGTATTTTACTATTTACCAACGACCCTGGGGTAAGATGACAAGTTTTTCGGGGTAAGATGGTTAATATGAATAAATTTAGCCCAATATATATTGTTATGTTTAAATAATGGATAATTAAAACAAATTATAAAAGTTTTCACAATAAAGATATACATAAAATAGATAATTCTAGTATAGCCAAAGGCCTACTATAAATGGACCTAAATAAAGACTTTTAAAAATTTACGTGAAAAGGCCCACCTTATTCTGTTGCAATCTTAGAAATATTTAAAAAAATGACTTCCCCCTTTCCCCTTTCAAGTTGAAAAAAATTTGCGACACCATTGTTCACACCTGGTTCAAGTCGCTCATCACGATTGTGATTAAAATATGGGGCACCAATGGGCATTGATTAATTTTTGAATATTTTAATGATCCGCCAAGCCTATAACTATGTGGGCCTTCATTCAGGTTTAGCAAAATAGTTATATTTAAATTAATAAGAAAATAAATAATTTTGGTATAATAATAATATATATAGATACTATAGCACTTACAACCAAATAAAAAGTATAATATCAGTAAAATTATTTGAATTATCTTTTAAAGAAATGATAATTGAATAATAGATAAAATGACAATTAATAGGTTTTTTAAATATTCTGAATAAATTTATAATATAAGATAATAAAATGTTAATTATAATAAATATATTAATTTATATTAAAAAAAATTATTATTACATATCATCGTGATGGTGAAGATTGAAGTTAATAAATTTTAATAAGTTGCACAAATAACAAACTTAAATTTTTAAGGGGTAAAGCAAGAGCGGGAAAAATTATTTCATTTCACATCATTTCGCATAACAAAATAATACCCATCTTTTGTGTAAATGTAAAATTAAATATATTTTAATAATGTGTAAAAATATAACTAATATTATAATATATAATATATTAAATTTAATCATTTCTAATGCAACAGGAGCAATAACTTATAAATAATTTTTTTAATTTTCAATTTAGAAAGGAAAAAATATATTTTTCAGGTTTTTTAGATAAAAAAAATGTACATTGATGTGGAATAATTGCATTATCAAAGCCAATTATTTAGACACTTTTAAATTTAATTTGCCTTAATAAATAATTTATGTTACAAGTTTAGAATTTTTATAATTATATTTACGGAATATTTTATTCAAAATTTAAAATAAATTTAAGTAATTTTCCCTACAAAAACAGAGATAATGGAGTATATAATCAAATATTTTTTTTAGGTTAAAAAAAATGAATAAAAATCACTTATTATCATAACTTTAACTATTTTGAAGTTACTTCTCTAAAAAAGAAAAATAGCTAAAGGAATTTGTTGGATATTCTTTATTTTCCAAGTTAGCAAGTTTTTTTTAAACAAACTTTATATATATATATATAAATGACATATGATATATTTAATGATAAAAAAATTAATTTTATTATAATTTAATAACCCTTAAATATATTTTAATAATGACGTTTTAAACCACCTTTTCATTCATGGAAATTCTTTTTCCTCCGAAAATTTTCTAGTTTTAGACGTCACACTGCTCGAAGGCTAAAATGACTAGTAAAAAAAAATCGGGTGAGTTCGGACCGGAGAACTTGTATAAAAAATTTTGCGGGTCGGGTCGATTAAAGAGTCCAATGATTGATCAGTTCTGGATGACCATTGATTAATCTTCTCACCCCCTGCCCCAGTCCAGTATGGCCTGTTAATTTATTTACCGGCCTCAAATTTGAGCTATAATATTGGAAGTTTCAGCTAAATAAGTAGAAAAATTACCCAAATAATTAATTTATTTAGAAAAAAAAAATTTACAAAATATAGCAAGCCGTATATCCAGCTGTAGGTTGCATTATCCCAGAGATTAAATTTTCCGTTAAATACCTATAATCCTGCATAAGATGGTTAATTTTAAGAAGCTCGGAAAATATAATTCATATTTGTTTAATCTTTGATATTTTATTTATAAGCTATTTTTTTGTTATTTTTTCAAAGTTAATAAAATTAACATGATTGAGAACTGAATATATTCCAAATGTTCTATCAAATCCAAGTAAGAATCGGGGTAATGAATATTGTCACGGATATGTATATTGGCGATGAAACAAATCTTGTAAAGAGCATACCTACGAGAAGACATCAGTTGTCTTTTTGCAAATTTCTATTATATTAATCGCCAATTTTAAAAATACATTATAATTCGATGAATTACCAGAAGCATATCTAACTTGGCATGATCTTATACCGTACTGTATGCCATTTTAAACGATAATCAACTTTATTAAGAATTAGAGAAAAATATTGATGAGCAAATTAATCTAACCATACAGAGATAGTTCCAAGTGTATATATAAAAAAAATATCCTGAGATTATCCTTCAGAAATAAAGATTTATTCCATCAAAACAGTGGGCAATTTTTTTCCAATTATCTAAGCCTTATCAATGATACCCAGAGTAGGCATTCCAAAAACCATTTTTCTTCTTCTTCAAATATATCTTTTCCCATACCTCGATGATTGAGAGGATGCTTTATTTATTCAGTATTAGTAAATATTAAATTTATTCGGGTTTGAACAAAAAGTATCCCAAACTACCCCGGTGTTCCCCTTCATTTTTGCTCCTTGATAAAGGTATTAATTATTATAAATATGTTGATGTGCGCATGTGCAGCACCAGCCAGTGGCGTGGCTTATAGAGGGTTCACGAGGGCTCATATCATAACTCTTAAAAACTTTGGAGAGGATCCCTAAAAAATATCAAATTTTAGTCATTTGGGGAGGGGGAATAGCTGCAGTTTTGTTAAAATAGCGCGCTACTTTTTTCAGTAGCGGTAGCGTTAGCTGGCTACTTTTTTTAGAAAATAGAGATTAGCGTTTCAATTTTACATAATAAATACATCTAAAAATTATTAAAATATATTTTTTATTAAATCTAAAATTATAATTCTTTTATTTAATTTAATTAAATTTTGAAATTTAAATTTATATTTAAAAATATACATTATTAGTTATTAAAATGTGTGAGATTGTTGAAGATAATGAAATTCTTTGGAAAATGAGAAAAATATAGATTATCCTTTCTCAAAATTCAAAAAATACTTTAATCTTTACTACACTTCAGGATGTTGGTTTCGATACAATAAAATTTTGCTATGCTAAAAGGCATTGAGAAAAAGTCAAAACATTATTTTTATTTTCTATTATACAATTATATAATTATATAAAATGAATGATTTATTTCTTGATTAGCCATAATTTAAAATGGATTAATTTACAACACAATCTATAATATTAATATATAGTATTAATATATAATTCAATATTAATATATTATTAATTACCTTGTGTATAATAATTATATTTTTAAAATTTTAACATAATTGAATGCTATTTTATTATTTTTTTATAAATGAATCCAAATCTCAGATAAATTTAAATTTTGAAAATTAAAAAGGTATTCTTCTTATTTTATAATTAATACAATTGCTTTATATAAGTAAGATTTCCAGATCTGTATAATGATGATAATGTAATAGCTGCTATCGTTCATCCTAGTTTTAAGTTAAATTGACCATACATTAATTTGACTGAATCTAAAAGGGCAACTTGATAGTGATGGTAACGTTAAAAAATGCCATGCCGAAATATGATATTAATACTATAGCAAGATCGAAACGCGGCCTTTAATAGACGATTTTTTTGAAATAAATAATAATAATAATATTATTGAACCTTTAGATGCTTTTTTTAAATCTAAAAATACTCATTTTAATATCCTAGATGATTTTTTTCATATAAAAAGTGTGTTTAATAAATAAAATACTGCGCAAGTGCTAGTGCTGAACGATTATTTAGTATGGCAAAGCTTATACTTTCTGATCGTCGAGTACAAAATGTTATTATTAAAGTGCAATATTAAATAAATTATATATATGTGTGTAACGAATGTCATGTTTTTATACCAATATTTTATTTGTGGAAATAAAGTTATGTAAAAAAAAAATCAAAATAGCGTAAAAAGTAGCTTTAGCTCCCTTTTTTTTAAAGTAGCTAATAGCGCGCTACTCATTTGAAACGATAGGGGTAGCGATAGCGCGCTACTTTTAAAAGTAGCGTTTAACAACACTGAATAGCTGTTAGAATTATCGACTTTGAATCGCCTATTTTTTTTTGTCATATTTTTTATAAATATGACCCCAAGTTGAAAAAGCTAACGACGCATGATTTACGTCGCTCATCACGATTACGTTTAAAATTTCTCGGCCAGCGGGTAAATTGATAGCAAATAGATAAATTTTAAATTTTATAAAAGAAATAAAATAATTTTTATGTATTTAGCTATCATTTACTTACACAAAACGTATCATAAAAAAGTGAAATATCAGCAAAATTATTAATAATAATAGTAGATAATATAAAAGAAACAACAATTGTTTTCGATTTTAAAAAATCTTATTAGTTACAATAATAATTATTTATTATCAATCATCGTGATCGGTGAATAATGAGTAAATAAATTATATACAAAATACAAAACTTAAATTTTCAACAAGGTAAAGGGGTAAGGGGAAATTAATTTTACTTACGTCATTCCCATAATAGGAAAAAACGTCATCATTTTTTTTATCCTCTATTTTATATATAAAAGAAATTATAATAATTTTATCAGCGATAAGGTGCAACCAACCAACAACTTTGTTCAATAATTCTATAATCATAAATAATTTTTAAAAAGGAATTCTCTTTCAATTTATAGAAAAAGGTAAATTAATTTTATGTATTATTTTTAAACGCTTAAGTTTAAGTAGAATAATGATTAAACTTATTATTAAAACTATAATTTTATTAATTAGATTATAGTTTAATGACTTATAAATATTAAAGTCCGAATTTTATATTATTATTATCATTTTTAATAATTTTTTTCATTTTTTAAAATTTCAAAAATAAATTAAGTTTTATTTTCCTACACTAGTAGGATTATGATATAAAAATGAATGAAAATCGATTATTATCATAAAACTATTTAATATTTTAACGATATACACTTCTCTTGTCTTTAAAAAAATAATCCTAAAGCCAGAAGGGGCTTACCAGCCCCAAGTAATTTATTAAATTATTTTTTTTTTATTTAAGCGTCATTTAAATAAAATTATTGCAACGTATATTAATTAATTTTATTGTTTATATTAAACTCTTAAATAACATGTGTGTTGTTGTTAAACGGCTCATTCCTTCCTTCCTCCCTTCCTTCCTTCCTTCCTTCCTTCCTTCCTTCCTTCCTTCCTTCCTTCCTTCCTTCCTTCCTTCCTTCCTTCCTTCCTTCCTTCCTTCCTTCCTTCCTTCCTTCCTTCCTTCCTTCCTTCCTTCCTTCCTTCCTTCCTTCCTTCCTTCCTTCCTTCCTTCCTTCCTTCCTTCCTTCCTTCCTTCCTTCCTTCCTTCCTTCCTTCCTTCCTTCCTTCCTTCCTTCAAAGAAAGAAAGAAAGAAATAAATTTGAATACGGCAATCCCAATATTTTAGCCAAAAAAATTATTATGTATTAATCCTCAAGATTTTGTTAATAGAAGTCCAAAAACTTTGTACCTTCATTATTACAAAATCACCAGGGCTTGCCTTGCATGTTTAGTTTTGGCTGAGATACTGGGTTCGCTATTTTTAAAAAATCTAGCTTATTTAACAAACACTACTTAAATATATTTTATATCCTCAATTGTATATTTACCTTTCACTACATTAAAAAAAAATTTATTTTCCTTACAAGATTTTTATGAATAATTTGTATATATATATATATATGTCGTATTGGGATTCGGAATCTCTTTAATTTAAATCCTTTACCGAGAGCGATTTAAAAAATTTTATAGTGGTTTAACCGGAATTGTATTTCAGCATGTATTAGAGTAAACTGTTAATTTCAAACAATTTTGCCATGAACTCAAGAACTACATCTAATCCATATAAATTTATATATGGATTTTTCATATAAAATTAAAAAAAAATACAAAAATATCTATGGTTGAAATTTGCTGAAATTTATAGGGTAAATACTCCACACATGCTAGAATACATTTCCGGTTTAAACCGGATTTTAAAATTTTCTAAATCGCCCCAAGAGATACCGAATCCCCACGGATTCCGAAACCCCATGGACATATATATATAATTTGAAACCATATATAATAAATGATATCAATTTTGGGAAGTAAGGCGTCACCCGGCCCGAGGCCCAAAATGGCGAGCAAAAAAAATGCGACTTTAGCAAAATATTTTTTTTTTTACTCGCTGGAATTTTCTCAAAATTAAGGAAAATTTATGACCGGGCAAAAATATTTGCGAAATAAAAATGGCAACCCAAATTTAGACAAAGGGATACGTTACGTTTTTTTTTATTAAAAAAATGTAGGGCAAAATGAGAACTCCCAATTTGTACTCACTATTGATGTTTTTTAAATTTAAACTTATTTATTCTTTTACCTCATAATTTTTTTTTCGAAAAATCAGCTGTTGTAACGACAATTTCCCTGAGTAGTGTTGTTAAATGACCTAACTTTGACCATTTCTATTTTGGTTTAGTCAATCTTTTAGACTAAAAAATTGAATTGAACCTCTAAGTTGAGTCTCAACTTGAAGATTGATTGGAATATTTTTGGAGGTAGTTAAACAACACCATCCCTGAGTTGAACCATAAACCAATTTATCATATACTTAATAGATTAGCCTATTATTTGCCTTAATCAGGTTCTCGATATATCTTGTAAAATAATTGTCTGAAATGTAAGGCCAGATAGACCAGCCGGAATCCATTTCTGGAAAAATCAGATAATTAAAATTTTTTTAAAAAATTTGGTTAATGAATGATTTAAAGCTGGTAAATAGCACATTCTAATAATCTTAATTTGCCAAAAAAAAAATATTTCCAAGTGTGTCAGATAATTTGACCATAAACTTTTGAATTCTTTTAAGTTAATAATATTGGCAAAACACGAATTCAATAATATTTAAATTCAGTTAAATTGCAAATTGACTGATTATTGTAATTTGACGGTAAAATAATATTTATAACTCATTATAAATTTTAATTATTATTTAATTAAGGCTTATACATTATAACCAACAACCTCTTTTTTTTCTTTACAATGGAGAGAAATCAAATAATCATAACGGAAAAAGATAAAGCAGAAATAATTAAAATATGGGATGTTGTTATGAAGGATCCGAAATCCAGTGGAGTATTGATCTTTGTAAAGTAAACAAAATTATTGTATAATTTCTCACATTTCTATGTGTTTTTCCTCTTTTATATAATAGCTTTTTCAATGACTTCCCCGAATATAAAAATCTATTCAAAAAGTTCGAGCGAATATCGATGGAAGATCTCCCGAAATCTCGGCAATTGAGAGCACATGGGATAGCGGTTAAATTTATATACATTCTCTGACTCTTTTAGAAATATTTATACAAATTTTTTTTTTGCTACACATGTCTCGATTAAGTATTGTTAGATCATTTAACTTTAGAATATTCCCGATAAGGCCAATAACATATAATAATATCTAGACTGACGATTCATTCATAATATGTGATGGATTTGAAAGCGTTGTTGAAAGTAAATCAGCTGGAGCTGCCATTTTGGTAACCCATATAGTGATTTACTATTAAATTGATAATTTACTTAGTTATTATCTCGATGATCAGGCTATTCTTTAATAAAGTTTGCGACAGACATATGAATAAATTAGACTCTCGATAATTTTTAATAATGATATGGGTAATCAAAATGGCGTCCCCTGCTGTTTTGATTGATGCACAATTATAATGAATATATCATCAGTTTAGGTATTATTATATGTCATTAGATAAGGCTTAGCTAAGCTCTTATAGCCTAAAAATTAATTTAATCGTCTAAGTTGAACAATCAACTATTAAGAATGGGATCAATATTCAAGTATAGAAAGTTAGCTAATTTATTTTTAAATTAAAAGCAAATCCCAGGGTGATTAACAATCAATAAGCAAGTTGGAATGATATTTTTATATGGATTTATATGATTGTTAGGCCTAAAAAAAATATGTGTTATGGCCTACATACGATGGGTTGGTGAATAAAATATATTATATTATTCAAGGGCGCCTGCAGAATTTTTACTAAAAGGAGAGGGAGGAAGGTATATTAAAAAATAAAATATTATAAAAAGTGTAGTAAAAATTTTTAAAGATCTTTATTTGAAAATCATTTCTATATCATAGCTATTTACATTAACGTAGAAGCAGTAGCATCACTGAAGGGGTGCACAAGGTTTCAAGCTCCTTGAAAAATTTGAAGAGTCCACTGAAACGTACCACCCATGCACCAACAGATTTTGAGAAAAATTTGCTGAAGAAAGTAGAATTACTTCGTTGGAATGCCTGTGATCTGTCTCCCTTTTTTTTGCCTATAGTTTTCTTAATTAGAGCCTCAATTTCTGGAATATGCCCTAAGGTGTTGGTAAAGATTGGTATAAACAGCTCTGTGAGCCAGAATATTAGTTTTTTAGGGACATCTGCCTTTTCGATTTGTAGTGTTGAAAATTTTTTTTAAAAAATGGTTAGAGTATAAATATAAAATTATTTTAAATACTAAAACTCTCAACTCATCACTTAGAGTGAGGTATAATGTAATTTTGTAATTATTTTATTAAAAAGGCCTCTATTTTTTATTACACCTATAAATTTTGTTGATTTTAAAAATGTTTTAAAAACCGTTATCAAGGCAGGACAGTTGTATTAATGCGTTAAGAGTATAAATGAGGAATTAGTGATCTGCATCGGGCCTAATTTTTCAAGCCCGGCCCGGCCCGAAATTTTTTTAGAAAAGTTTTGCCGGCCCGTCACGAACCCGAATTTTTTTCAAAAAGTTTTGCCGGCCCAAACCCGAAATTTTTTAAAAATTTAGCGACCCAGCCCTGCCTGAATTTATTTAAATGTAGAAATTAATTTCTCAAAATTAAAGACATATGTTATATGTCGTTTAGTTTCAATAAATAAAATCAAATATTTTTATTTTACATAAAAAAATTCAATATAAAATTGATAAATTTAGATATATTTAATTAAAATTTCAAGGTCAATTTTTATTAAAATATTAGGCCCGGCCCAGCCCGAACCCGAATATTTTAAATAAAATTAAACCCGAGCCCGGCCCTAACTTTGCAGACCTCTATGAGGAATTACGCTTATACGTATAAGTTTAAATATCTTTCCTTTCTAGTTTTTATTTTTTAAGATCCCAATCATAAAATGACTAAAAAACTAGAATTCTGCATTGTGTTCTAAACCTAATTTTGAGATTATACATGCTCTACCAAATAAAATTATACATTAAAACTCCTAAAAAGAGGTTCGCTCATAGGCATAGAAGGGGGAAGTAGTAGGGTCTTCCCCCCTCTACCCCCTCCCCTTAATCGGAAATTGCCTGTTCTCGTGAATATCATTTTATACTAAATAAACCTTTCTTCCCTATGCACCACCCAATTTCCCATAAAAATATATAAAATATATCACTAGAAACAATAATTTTGAAGAAAAAAATAATGGTTCCCGTTTTAAATCGCGAAAACAAAAATCTAGCTATTACCTCCTAGAAAAATTTTTAAAGTAAATTTGATATTAATATTAATAGATGTTAGTGGAATTATCACTTGTATCTAATTTGAGAATCTTTAAAAAAATGGCTAAAAATGATAAGATTTCCACTATTTTTAGTAATTTTTCTGATAATCCAACTTAAATTCAAGTTATAATATAAATTTCAAATTTTCTTTAAAAAATTTTTATAGGAGATATAGGAGTTTTTATTTTGAACATATCCTAAAATGGAAGTAAAAGCTTAAAATATTTTAAAATAATGACTATGATTATAAATTGTTAAATAGCATTTTATAACCATAATTATATGAAATATTCGAAACTATTCTTTAAAGTTCTGTAATATGTAGACTTTAAGACATTTAATAGAATTTACGGGAAAAAATATTCAACCTAATAACCCCCCCTCCCCCCCCCCCCAAAAGTTCCACGATTATCTACTTTATCCTAGAAATTAAAATTTTAATTTTATATTAATCAAAAAGGTGATAAATAGTTTAAATGGCATGATCGAAAACTTGGATGACCCTGAATGCCTCGTGGAGTTATTATTGATGAACGGCAAGCAACACGCGCATTTCGGTACTACAATGGAGCATTATTATGTAATAATATAAGAATATTTAAAATATAAATTATATTAAATTATTTTTAAGTTAATTTTTAAGAATTAATATATCAAGATTTTTACATCTTCATCATATTTTAGGTAGTAAACCGATTCTATTATGAGCCGATTTTTAAAATGCTGATTCAATATTTTAGCCTGAAAAAATATTGCACAAGCCTGCTATGTGCCATAGAGATCTTTAAAAGTAGGCCCGCCCCGAATGTCAGGCCGGTCCGGTCGGGCCTTGGAATTTTTTTAAAAATATATTAAGATTTCTCAAATTTATATTGAATTTTTTTTTATGTAAAATAAAAATATTTCATTTTATTTATAGGACTGGACTCCATATAACATACGTCTTTTATTTTGAGTAATTAAAAAATTAATTTCTATATTTAAATGAAATTGGGCCAAAAAATTTATTCAGGCCGGGCTGGCAAAAATTAGGCCCGATGCAGATCACTAATGTGCCATCTCTAGCCAAAATTTTTATGTTTTTTTTATGGCTAAAATATTGAGCTAGCCAAATGAAATGTATAAGGAGAGTAAAATAAAATATAGATTCAACATGTATTTTTTTTAATATCAAGAATTTGTGGGAAACCGTTATGAAAACGTTTAAACAAGCGTGCGGCGATTTATATACTCAAGATTCAGAAAAGGCGTATAGGAAATTATTCGCTATAATGGATATGTCGATTAATGAAGGCTTGATTTCGGAAGGCGTTTCCGATTAAAATAAATATAAAATTTTTTCTGATTATATTTTATGATGTAGCAATTCAGTTTTCGATTTAAATGATATCTTCTAAGAATTAATTTGTATTTATTTATATTCGGATTACACATCATATAAAATCAAAAAATTATAATAACTTACTATTTATAAAAATATATAAAATAAAAATAAATATTTCTATATATGTATCGAAGGCTCTAAAAAGAGCTTAATTTAGTAATGAGTATAGTATCAAGTATATTACATATATTACAAAAAAATATATATATCCTAATAAAAATATTACTTTCTTTTAAAAATATCAATTATTTTCGCGAAGTAAGCATGAGAGACCTTCATGGGCCGGGTATGGATATAATTATTTAATTTCTAGCGGGCCTGAGCCGGTCTTGGGGTTTTAAAATTTTTTTACTTAGGGGCCGGGTTTGGGCTTAAATTTTTTTTTTTCAAATTTAGATTATTTTTAGGATATTTATTTGGACAAATATAATAAATCATTTATCCCATTTCCTAGACACCTTGGGAGAGTTTTAATTTTGTTTTTTTCTTTAAATTCGGAAATTGTTATTTTTTGACATAACTGATTTAAAGTGTAACACTGTTATAGGTAATTCCTACACTTTATTATATAAAATACCATGATATTTTTATTTAAAAATCACTTTTATTCATATAAAACTAGGATCACACTGTTACTTCTTTAGTGTGACAAACCCAATATTAATTAGAAATTAAATATATGGCTATAAAGATGATATTTAAAATGATTAAGGTACTTCGAAGTAATACCAGATACCAGTAATTTATTTTTTATGAATCTTTTTAGCAATATAATATGTTTAGCTTCATCCTCATTAATGGATATGTCTTCATACGAGGATGAAAAGAAAATTAGACTGATATTGATGAGGTAAATTTACATTTGGATATTAAGCTTAAAGGAGGATATCAATTATGATGATAATATCCTAAATTGGTGGAAAAAGCATGTAAAAATTTTGCCAAAATTAGCAAGATTAGCCAAAAAAATACATGCAATTTCAGCATCAAATGCTTCGAGTGAACGAAATTTCAGCACTATTGAAAGAGTTATCGAAGAGAGAAGGACAAATTTAAACAATGAAATTGTTGATAATATATTATTTTTAAATGATAATTTGAAAATATAAATTAAAATTTTGTTTATATAATTTATTAATATTAAATATATATACACTAAGTAAAATATTATATTTCCATTAGTATTACTTCAGCATGAGTATTCATAAAATAATTTAATGGGCTTGGGCTGGGCTTGGGAAAATTTTTAATAAACTTTTCATGGGGCCCATCAGATATGGGCCGGGCAGAGCTTGGGCCTTAAATAATTTTTTACTACGGGCCTGGGCCGGGCTTGGTCAAAAAATTAAAGCCCATGAGGTCTCTGGTAAGCATTTTAAAAAATTATTAACTTTACCAACAGGGCAAAAATTATATGGACTAGATATATTGCTAAAAACGAATTATATATCTATATTGTGAATTTTATTTAATATTTTTATCGTGAATAAATTAGTAGTAAATATTTAAATTTATATATATATGAAAGTCACTCCCTTTCCCTGAGAATGATGGGGGTTCAATATTTTTTTTAAAAAAAACCCATTAGAAATTTACTGAATGATTATACGCCTCTAAGTACTCAGGTTTTCCAATGGTGGGAGTGAGGGTTTAAATTTTGAGGGCTTTGCCCCCAAACCCTATTTTACCCTGCTTTCGGTCAGGTCTCTATAAAAACCCTTATATATTATTGCTTTCTCGGTTATCTTTATATAATTCCCGTCAAAGTTAGCTCCCTAATTGGCAATGTCTTTTTGTGATTTATTAGTGTTTGACTTTAACCAGTATATAGTAATCAGTATAAAGAAATTTTTTTTTATTAGTAACATGATTTTGACTAACCTTAAAATTATAAAGTGCCATTGGAAGCTCTTAGTCAGTAAATTTTATCAATGTTAAGATCATAATTGTTATATTAATTTAATGAGTTAGGTAAGCAGTATACAGAAAAAGGAAAATTGCCAAAATAACTAACATTTCGCGTGCACTAGTATATAATGAATGACTAGTATTCTTTCAATTCCTCGCTCAAATATGAGAATCAGGAAAAGAAGCTGAGTTATATAAACAAAATGATAACTATAACGTCACTCTCTAAACGTTAAGTAAGCCAAGATTTTTGGAAACACTAATTTTGAAACTTATACTAAACCATTAAGTAGAACTTTCTTAGAATATTTTTATTGTTTTATTCTCTTAGATAGTTTGTTTAAGGAGGAAAAGAATTATTGGTAATGTCAAAATTAGCCTCATGCCAGAACGATATATAAGTTCTGATTATCTGGTTTGAGTTGATGTTTACTGTCTTATTAAATTCTTTAATCAATTTCACCATCCATTAAAATAAAATATCCGAATTATGAACCACAAACCTACGATATCGGGTCTTAAGCGTAAAGATATCCAAACTTCTGGACGAGCATTATCCCTCGGAAATTTATGTTAATAATTAGTATCTCATACTCCTTTACCGCTTCGACTTGTTTGGTAGATAGTTTAAAGAAAAACATTTTTGGTTGACATCATGCTAGAAGGAAAATTATAGAAACAAATACATGATGAGTACTTACTATTTCCATCGATTGATTATTTTAAGGCAATAATTAAAAGCTAGTTATAAGCTAAATAAAAATTACAGCAAATCTTAAACTGAATCTTAAATATCGAATTTATAAATTTACCAAATATCAATTTTGGTCTGAAATACATTAAGGTATCTTCTTTCCCCGATTCAAGATATTTTTTTTTGAATCTTTTTCTTTTCAGTTTGTCAAATAGATATAGAAGTAATTCAAATCTCATTAAATAAGATAGAAGGATGATTCTAGAAGCAAAAAAAATAGGATTACAAAAATTGAATAAATTAAATATCTAAAATTAAGTTTTACTATTATTGTCATTATAAAAAAAATGCTTTAATCTATTAAAACCAGATATATGCGGGCTCAGCCCGGCCCGCATTAATTTTTTTTAAATATACCCGAACCGGGCCTAAAATTATTTTGTTAAAAATAAAGCCGGGAAAGGCCTGAATAATATAAAACCCGGGCCGGGCCGAAAATATTTAATATATGAGCCAGACCGTGAAATGGTACCTCTACAAGTCTCTAATATAAAACTTGATATGGTTGTAACTTTGGTAATTTGTTTTATTTTAATAGCGGCAAAAAAAAGTGTTTGATGGACTTTATCCTATCTCAGCTTAACATTTGTTGAAATAGGAATAAATTAATGATTGTTTCTTCATAATGAAATTGCCCATCACAAACTCGAGCAGTTTTTTGTGTTATAATTTAAAATTTATTTTAAAAAATATACAAATACTTGTAAATCAAAATTATTATTTATATAATTAAAAACATAAATATAGTTTTTTTTATTTAAATTTTAAGCATTCATATTAACAATTTAACAGAGTTGTTAAAAGATACTTTTAAATGGATCTAAATACAGATACATCGTCTAAAATAATATCTTCCCCCTCTCCTTCATGTCTACACCACTGAGAATTCAATTGATGATCCTACGCCTCCCCTTCGCGGTAGAAGTCGCTCCATATAGTCTCTAAGTCTAATAAATTCATAAAATTTTAGGTATCCAATAAAAAATTTACCCCCCCCCCCATCCCTCCCTCATCTGATTCCATGAAATCTGGTTACGCTTCATATTATATATATTAAAAATTGTATTTTTATTGTCTTTTAAAAAACATTTTGAATTTTTTTTTAGTAAATTGCTCAAGTTCATCAACCATTTTAAAAATATCAAAGAAATTATATTAGAAAGCTTATATAGAAGATATTTTAAAATTAAAGGGCATTAGTCCGAATTTTTAGTTAGCGCGAATTAGCGGAGATGTATACAAAAATAAATGCAAAATTATTATTATTTATATCATATTTTGTATTCTTGTCCCAGGTTCAATCCTGGTAAGGAACGTAAATTTTCAGGTTTTTCCTTGATGACTAATGTTCAAGGAATAATCTAGGATCAATTTATGAGCTGAGTGCAACCCCGGTCACTGACAGGCTTGGACAGCCGGGTGCTAGGACACTTGTCCAATAAACCAAAGATAGCCTGCTGACCTCGTGGGCCATTCAAGGATGATAGATGGAATCGATAAGAATACTCCGGTGGGATGTCTATCGATATTGATACTTCGGTGTGCAAGATACAATGGCCTTGATACCGATACTTCGGTAAAAGATTCATGAAATAGATAAGAAAACTCCGTTGGTGTATATCAGAGATAAAAAGAGATAGATAGCATGAATAAAAAAGTGGAGAGAGAGCTTACCACCAGAATAAAGGTGAAATCTTAGGAGAAAAATTTTTTATACTTCTCCGCGAATTTGCGCCAGAAGAAAAAAAAACATTTACGCCGTCATAAACGAGACCGTTTAATCTGCAAATATCGATCTATATTCTTTGTCGAAAATAGGAACTCTTTTTGGATCACTTGTGATTAAATTTAACCTTTGCCCTATTGTTTTGAATATTCTTATTTGAGGTCTAAATGTTCCATAGGTGTCAGAAACTACTGGAACTCACAATAGATTATTTAGATGGCTATATTTATGTTTTCTACTCATGGAGTTGACCTAAAAGCTGAAAGGGTATGCCTTGATTTTAGAAGACTAGGGTCATCCTATCAGATCTGGCTTGAATGTTAGGGCCAGAGGGTTCCAGTGTGGATCTCAAACTTCTTTTGATGATCGAATTGATGGTAAAGTGTCTAGGTAATCTGCCTTTTTAAAGCCACAATGTATAGGATGGTAGCTTAAAGTATCGATATGGGTATCACAAAGGGCGCATGAAGTTAATTATACAATTTCGCAATCTAATCGAAGAGATAGAAATCCAAAGTTCTCCGTTTGAAGAGGCATAAATTAGAACTAA